AACTTGTAGCTAATAAACAATTTTACATTTTACATATTTCATATCATATACATGTAAAAAGCCTGATGACAATTAAGATTCCTTATTTTGGGGCCATGTGCTAAAGTCGAAAACTTAACTAAGGCATTATATGGATTGAAATAAAAATCAGTGGAAAAAAAACCCACTGCAAGTTACTTCTGCTGAAGGGATAAAAATCTGACACAAACCTTGATAAAAAAAATCTTGCAATGTGAAAACAATTACAAACAGAGTATGGCTTCTCTCAAGATGGACCATTCAACTCAGTATTCTTCTCTTTCAAGAGATGTCTATTTCTTATCTTTGAGTAGTATACCATCTACAAAGAAAAGACCTCTATAAAGAGCCACCTCTGTATGAAGATTCCCTCTGTAAAGAAAGCACCTCTGTATTGCGACTTTTTCTGATAGAAAGACCACCTCTGTAGAGAGACTGCCTCTGTTCAGATATCATCTCTGTAAAGAAACCACCTCTGTATAGCGACCTTTTCTGATAGAAAGACCACCTCTGTATCGCGACTTTTTCTGATAGAAAGACCACCTCTGTAGAGAGACTGCCTCTGTTCAGATATCATCTCTGTAAAGAAACCACCTCTGTATAGCGACCTTTTCTGATAGAAAGACCACCTCTGTATAGCGACCTTTTCTGATAGAAAGACCACCCCTGTAGAGAGACTGCCTCTGTTCAGATATCATCTCTGTAAAGAAACCATCTCTGTATAGCGACCTTTCACAACAGGCCTGACTGCAAACAAATCATCTTGGTGGTCGCTCATTTCTAAAAATGTTACTGGAAATGGGAACCTTGACATAATTACTAACAAAGAATTAACTAATTGTTATGACAAAGATGAAAAAGATGAATGCAAGTTTACAACCTTGTTTTGTATTGTAATAAAAACTCAAAGTATTTACACAAAAAAGTTCCATCAATCTGTTTTCCACATATATATGATGTATACAATTCTATCCTGATTCCTTAGGCTGATTCACTGGTGCTAATCCTGTACTGTCTTCTGATCCACAAACATCAATATAAGGTTAAATACAAGTGATCACTGCTGTATCAAAATAAAAAATATTCTACATGTTATAAATTAATGCATGTAATTGCTCATTTTTTATTAGAACATTTTAATTTTTATCTTATATGATTAAAATGTTCATTTAAAATGTACAAAGATGTTGATTTCGCCAGGAAATTAACATTTCTTAATTTAGTTTATTGCACTTAATATTTTACTGGCCTAACTAAGTCATGGATTGTGTTACCATGGATACTGTGTAACAAACATGAATTGGTTAATATAACTAGATACTAGGGTCATCATGTCTTTAAGTCTTCTATAGTTCGGTGATAAAAAAAAACTTTCACTTTTTTTTATCTAAATAAAGTTATTCATTAAGAAAATCTTAATTATCCAGTTTACCAGAGCTGATTTCATTATCATTAATCAGATTTGTGATGGAAAAACGTAAAAAAAAAAAAAAAAAAATCAATGTTTCAATTTCTCCAAAATCCAATATGTAAAACAGTTTCTCGAGATTCTAGATAAGTTGTATCTTAAGATTGATGGGAAACACGACCAGCGCATTCCTTGTGATAACATTTGCGTGATGTGACTGACGAAACAACATAAACACAGGTATACATCTATGCTTCTGATAATGAATCTGGAAATGATGCTTTTAACATAACTAGGAAAATATATTGTTCTGTTAATTATGAAAGTTACAAAACCTCTGCAGTGTCCGAAGTATTCGCAGATGGCTTAAAATAGCTTTGGCAAGACAAGTATAATTTAACAGATATCTCAAATATCGGAAAACAAATCATAATTACAGGAAAGAAAAATGAAACACAGAAAAAATTGAAATTATGAATACACATGTAAAGAATTTAGAAAAATTATTTTCACATAACGTTTTAAACAAATACATATTGTAATGAAAGAAATTTGGCCAATCAAATATGATCTTGCAGTAATAATTAAGGTGCATCATTTCTTAACTTCTAAACAGAAAAATATAAAAGTTTGGCAAGAAAATATATTTTACTGACAGGGACTTAATTATATTTAACAGCATATAGTACCAGTATATAACTTGAAACCTTTCCAACAACATTTCAGATATTTCTGAGGGAGATTTTTCGTAAAGGCATAGCTAGAGTGTCTTATATAGATAACCTGCTGTTCCTGGTAGTCCTGCTTCTGACTGACAAGTATTAACAATTTAATGACTTAAGCTAGACAACTTAATGTTTCTACTCCATTTCCTTGTATCGACTCTATTCACAAAAAAAGCTATTTCTAACTAATATCAAGAAAACTACAGTCAGATGATCATTAACAAATGATATATATTAGGCAACACAATCCTAATCAGAAATCTTTGACTTTAAAAAAATAAAAGTCTTGTCAAATAATTCAGTGTGAGAGTGATACCCTTTAGTGCTGGGGCTTGGTCCGTACAACTAAAGGGTACAAACTAGGATGAAGTCAGACCAACAGATGCTAACCCCATGGTTACAGGGTTTTACATAGCTAGGCCTAGAGCTAGGATCATACTGATGATGTAGAATGTAGAAAAAAACATTGATAGTGAGATAAAAAAAATCCACCAAAAGCATCATGCACAAAAATCTGTATCTCCTGATTGTTGTCTTGCATTAAACGTAAGTCATAGTGACCATCCACATATCCATGAAATCATATATACATAGATATATATGTGTATAAGAAATATATGTATGTATATATAAGTGTACATACAATGACACTGCAGTATCAGCAGCGTTGATATTGTCACATATTATTTAATAGCTACACCGCTTTAGTGACATTCAAACATTAAAATATCATGTCAAACATACATGTTCATGTTTACTGATGCAGATTATTATATAGTTAACAGGTGATACATGGCATTTATAGATATATTGTAAATGGGTGATATATATATATTTATATATATATAAGTAAAATGGCAATAACAGATATTGGTAATACAATGACTAGGTTACAACAGTACCAATGCTGTCAAAATGCTGTAACAGTTGAACTTGGTAATTATACATGGTCTAAGCAGTCAACTGTACCAACAATTTATACATAATATAGGAATTATCACAATGCCTAGTATTGTCAGTAGTTTTTCCACATATTAACTATTACTTTCCTTTTTGTCCGCTACATAAAAATCTACAATTTGATTATAATATGAATTTGATAATTATCACATCACTAAATTGCTTACTGATACAGAATTCAAAAAGCAGTATGTATGAGTTTCCAAGTAAATAATATTGAACAAGATTATCCTTAACAGATAATAAAAATATCACATAGTAGACATGAAAAATAAACATCATTGTGACCATTACCAACATCAGCGTTCCCTTGCTTCTGTACAAATTTTCTTTAATTCAAATGTCGTGATTATCAAGGTCATTCCATGACATCAGACGTCCATGTGACTTCTGTTCTAACCTTTCCATGCAGTAACAATTTGGATACATGCATCGTATATGTCAGTTTTTCGTCAACAACAGCTGACAAGACAAGTCAATCTTCCATAATTAGGTAATTAGAATACATGATACAATAATTAATAACAATGTAAGCCTTCACTCGAAGTATGCTTTCATAATTCATATATTACTTTATTATTAATTCATTATCAAAGTTTAAATTACGTTTTTGAAAGAAGTAAAAAACACAAAACAAAAAAATTCAGTAGAAGAGATAGGTGTATTTGTAACAGAAATGTTGCATTTGCCCTTAATATTCAGATACAACCCGATTGTAAACATTTTTTTCCCAAATGAATCATTTAATTTGATGAAGTTAGCATAAAAATCTTCATGACAAATAATTAAATAAACCTTATAACAACATTCTGAAACTTTAATTATGTCTATTCTGATTTCCATCGCATTCTAAAAATGATTTTTTTAATGAATATTCATTTATAGACAATATTTACTTACATGATGGAGACCAATAAATAAATTCTAAACCTTGCTAAATGTAATCTGAGAAGAAATGAATGTTAATTCATAATTGGCATGCCACCCCAACACCCAATATGATAGTAATGATAAATGAAAAAATAATGTCGTGATTTTCTGAAAGAGACATAAATTGGAAGATACCATATTGTGAAAAAAAGTGCAAAAAGTTAGCCCACATTGTTATATAAGTAAATCAATGTCATTGTAACAGAAATGCACATTTTGACCCAGCCAGTCACATAGTTTACCAAAAAATGTTGTTCTGTCTTTTGCCATCTCTGACTGCAGAAACAATGAAAAAAGACTCTCATTTGTGTTTTTACTTTTAAGAGAACACAATCACTTAAGCAAAAACTTCTCAAAAAGGCTAGCCATCACATAACCTCGAGCCTCTGATACCGAGCTAAACACACGCAACTAGATTCCACAAGAAGTCAAACACAACATTTGAGACCGGTCACTTCTCCATCTGACAACTGGTCAAGTTACTTATTGATTCTAAGGTCAAGTATTATGACCAGTTGGTGCATGAGTTTCCAGTATTTAGTTATGTCGCAGATTTACCATAATGGACGAGGACTCGCGTCAATTTATCACAATATTTTCCGATCAAATGATCCCACACATCAAGTATCATCTTTTTTTGTAGGCATGTAACTCAAGGTTCCAACTAAATATCTCATCAATTGCAGGTATAAAATCGAAGCAATTGGTTAAATCTCTCCTCATTTGACTGATGCAATTTTCCTTTTGTTGATGTTCTTGGCCTGCTATCTTCACCACAGTTACATGTATGAACCAAGGCATTGATTCCCTTATAACCTGTGAATTCATTGACATTTTCTTTCTAGCACTGTTTACAACATTTGGCTTCAATTATGAAACAATTTGGTACATCTTTTATGATCATAAAAGATAAAAGAAGAAAAAAAAACATCAACAGTGTTTTCTTTAAAAAATATTTCTCATAAGTCGTCATGTCGTCCCGAATGACTGGAAGTGTAGAGAATAATTTGTTGTGCCACGAAGGCTACAAGGCAAGCAAATATGACAAACCCAAGCAATATGATCATTGCCCATTGTTGGTCAGTTAGTTGTTTTGGTTCAACGATTTTTGTCTCCAAGAGTTTTGGCTCTAAGCTTGTGGCTGGTTCCAAGCTTGGCGTGGTGAACATTACTGAAGGACTGAAAGGACCCATTACATCATCTGATTTGTCCACACACTGCCGAACGGCACACACTCGTATCGTATACTCTGTCTTTGGACCGAGTGTGTGTAGGCTGTAAGAAGTGGCAGGGCCTCTGTACATCTACAAATAAAAGGAAAGTGTTGTAGAACTCATAAACTGAAAAATGTATAAAAACTGAAACAGTAAAAGAGGTTTGCACCTGCTCTCATACATATAGACATCTTCTGTGCACCTGCTCTCACACATATAGACATCTTCTGTGCACCTGCTCTCACACATATAGACATCTTCTGTGCACCTGCTCTCACACATATAGACATCTTCTGTGCACCTGCTCTCACACATATAGACATCTTCTGTGCACCTGCTCTCACACATATAGACATCTTCTGTGCCTCTGCTCTCACACATATAGACATCTTCTGTGCACCTGCTCTCACACATATAGACATCTTCTGTGCACCTGCTCTCACACATATAGACATCTTCTGTGCACCTGCTCTCACACATATAGACATCTTCTGTGCACCTGCTCTCACACATATAGACATCTTCTGTGCACCTGCTCTCACACATATAGACATCTTCTGTGCACCTGCTCTCACACATATAGACATCTTCTGTGCACCTGCTCTCATACATATAGACTTCTTCTGTGCACCTGCTCTCACACATATAGACATCTTCTGTGCACCTGCTCTCACACATATAGACATCTTCTGTGCACCTGCTCTCATACATATAGACATCTTCTGTGCACCTGCTCTCACACATATAGACATCTTCTGTGCACCTGCTCTCACACATAGACACAGATATAGACATCTTCTGTGCACCTGCTCTCACACATATAGACATCTTCTGTGCCTCTGCTCTCATACATATAGACATCTTCTGTGCACCTGCTCTCATACATATAGACATCTTCTGTGTCTCTGCTCTCACACATATAGACATCTTCTGTGCCTCTGCTCTCATACATATAGACATCTTCTGTGCACCTGCTCTCACACATATAGACATCTTCTGTGCCTCTGCTCTCACACATATAGACATCTTCTGTGCCTCTGCTCTCACACATATAGACATCTTCTGTGCCTCTGCTCTCATACATATAGACATCTTCTGTGCCTCTGCTCTCACACATATAGACATCTTCTGTGTCTCTGCTCTCACACATATAGACATCTTCTGTGTCTCTGCTCTCACACATATAGACATCTTCTGTGCCTCTGCTCTCATACATATAGACATCTTCTGTGCACCTGCTCTCACACATATAGACATCTTCTGTGCACCTGCTCTCACACATATAGACATCTTCTGTGCCTCTGCTCTCACACATATAGACATCTTCTGTGCACCTGCTCTCATACATATAGACATCTTCTGTGCCTCTGCTCTCACACATATAGACATCTTCTGTGTCTCTGCTCTCACACATATAGACATCTTCTGTGCCTCTGCTCTCACACATATAGACATCTTCTGTGCCTCTGCTCTCACACATATAGACATCTTCTGTGCCTCTGCTCTCACACATATAGACATCTTCTGTGCCTCTGCTCTCACACATATAGACATCTTCTGTGCACCTGCTCTCACACATATAGACATCTTCTGTGCACCTGCTCTCACACATATAGACATCTTCTGTGCACCTGCTCTCACACATATAGACATCTTCTGTGCCTCTGCTCTCACACATATAGACATCTTCTGTGCCTCTGCTTTCACACATATAGACATCTTCTGTGCACCTGCTCTCATACATATAGACATCTTCTGTGCCTCTGCTCTCACACATATAGACATCTTCTGTGCACCTGCTCTCACACATATAGACATCTTCTGTGCACCTGCTCTCACACATATAGACATCTTCTGTGCACCTGCTCTCATACATATAGACATCTTTTGTGCACCTGCTCTCACACATCTTTTGAGAGATTCTCAAGAAATTACATGACTAACACTTTATATCCTCAACCCTATTACAGCAGTAATAGAAGAAAGAGCACCATCTATATCACAGTAAGAATGGCATAACTCTGGTGTTACCTGTTTGTATTCATGGTCCCGACTCTGAAGCTGTAGGATATACACAATGCTATCTGAGCCCATAGGTCGTACACTCGTCCATTCCACTGAACAGCTATTCAACTGTACATCCTGGATCTTTGGTGCTACAATGCAAAATGTAAGAACATTAGACACTTTATCTGAGAGACAAGTACTCAATATAAGACAATTTGTCACAGAGAAAAGTAGCAAATATTGAAATATTGACCTCAGGAAAACATAACAATTATAGAAACATTAAGACACATTATCTTGGAGACGGGTTACAAATATTGGAACATAATGTCAGTTATTGGAAAATAAAGGACCATTAAGACACTTAATCAGGGAGACAGGTAACAAATATCAGAATATTATGTCAGTTACTGGAAAATAAAGGAACATTAAAACAATTAATCAGGGAGACAGGTAACAAATATTTGAACATTATGTCAGTTATTGGAAAATAAAAGAACATGACACTTAATCAGGGAGACAGGTAACAAATATTGGAACATTATGTCACTTTATCAAGGACAAAAGTAGTAAATAAAGGAACTTTAAGATACTTTATCTGACAGACAGTGTAGCAAACATAGGAACATTTGGGATACAAAGTAAGACATGCAGGAACATCAAGACACTTTACCAGAAAGACAAATGTAATAAATATGTGAATGTTACGACACAGACAGATTAACAAACAAAGGAATATGTTAGGATACTCGGAGACAAAAAAACAAATGTAAGAATATTTTTGAAAATATCTGTCAAATAAGTAAGAATAATACAGAATCTCAATGATACAATACATGTTATACACGTTTATTTGAGAGAAAAAGAAACAAATGCTAGGACAAACTTGCTTTCTGTCAAGCTGAAATATCAAACAAGAATAACCAAAGGCTTTCTATCGGCTTTCTATCTGCAAGACAACATCAGTTTTAACATTGATTGTAAATGTCTCCATACAATTCCTGTTAATACCTTTCAAAGCCGGTGGCGGTGCCTTTGTGGTGGTGAAAGTGAAAACCTCGGAATACGGGCCATTCCCTGCCACATTGCTGGCAAATATTCTGAAGTCATAACTTGACATCTCTGTTAGTTTGTTGACCTTGTAAGCATGGGCTGGACCACTGTACACGGATTGGAAGCTACAACATTATCAATGCATATGTTATCAACATATTTCTGTGGTATGGCAAGTTCATTTTGTGTTCATGAACATTTTAAAATTCAAAATAACATTTAAAATATCAAGGTCACACTGGAAAGGAGTCTTCAGACATTTATGAGCTATTTCTGGCTATATGTCATACAAAGCCCTGTTTCTGTTCATTATCATGTGTGAGTTTCCATATGTATTTGTATACTGTAAATGATGTCTATATGCCTGAATGAATCCAATCAAATGAGAAGAACACACGTTGATGACACTTACTTTCCATCTTCTCTCTCCATTTCTAGAGTGTATGTAACCATATCGGGGTTCCGCCCATCTCCCCACTTAAGTTTTAGACTATTGGGAGCAAAAATCACACACTCTAGCCGAGAAGGGTTAGGGGGCAGGGGCTTGGTTGATATCCGCACTGGTGAGCTGAATGCACCTACTCCAATGCCGTTGACAGCTTGTATCCGCACCCTGACAAGAAAACATTCAGAATATGATTAATGGTTTAATTTGTTGAAATTCATTACTTCAAAGAAAATGACATAATATATAATGTAGCTGTAGTTGAGAACCAAAACAGAGATCAGGATACAGGTAAGAATCCATTCACTGGCAGAGAAATTTCAACATATTGATTTCCACATCATCCATCCACTGACACTAATCTACATCAATACATAATCAATCTGGCACATTTGATTAGTGTATCACAACGAGTCTTTAACAAGTTATGTCCCCTGCTCTACTCTCTACTTACTTGTACACAGACTCGGGAGCCAGCTCCTCTAAGACATACTCGGTGACGGCGCTTGTCGAGATAAGTTGTTTTTCACCAATATCAATATTATAGGCGCTAATGTCACTACCGTTACAGTTGGGCTCTTTCCAGGACAGAGAAATGGTGTTGGCATTGGCTGTGTGACGAATGTACACAACAGGCGACGGACTAGAAGGCGGGGTCACGCAGGTCGCCACCGCACTGAACGGTCCAGACCCTGCGCTGTTGACTGCCTGAATAAGAAATTGTATAATGACAATCACCATGTATAGACATAGTAAACAAATGATATATGTGTATACCAACATTTTTGTATACAGACATCTAGCAACAGACCAAAGTGACAAATATTTTTCTTTACTGACATCTAGCAACAGACCAAAGGAACAAATATTTTTGTACACTGACAACTGACATTGGCATGAAGTATTGAATATTTTTGTATACCCACATCTGACATTCGAACGAGGTAATAAATATTTTTGTTTACAAACCTGACACAGAACAATGTAACAAATATTTTTGTTTACAAACCTGACACAGAACAATGTAACAAATATTTTTATTTACCGACATCTAACAATAAATCTCTGTAATAAATATTTTTGTATACTGACATCCGACACAGAACAAAGTACCGTATTTTCTGTGTTACTAACTGCATCAGTACGTAAATGGCAGAGCCAATTTTTAACAATATTTTTCGTTTGATCCACATAATTGTCACATTGGAATATAAGCTGCATCCTTTCATACAATGTAGCAACCGTTATGTTGACCAAAGTTTGTTGATTTACCAGACAATCAAAGACGATTTATCAAGAAGTAAGTGGAACATTTAATACAAGGACATAGTCATCAAGATTCCCCCCCCCCACCCCCTCAACCCAGAATCACTGGTATTTTGCTGTCTGGCTTACCTGAACACGAAAACTGTACAGGGTGGCAGGTGTCAGGCCCTTCACTTCATAATTCAAATTTGAACCAAAATATAACTGAAACAGATAAGTTATAAAAACAATGAAATAATAGTGTTTAACACACAAAGTAGGTCTGGTTTATGTACCTGAATGTACATAGATTTACAAATGTCTAGAATGTCTAGTAGTTATTGTTGGTGTGTTCTGGAGGGGCAGAAAATCTTAAGTACAATTGAATCTGAGTGAAGTTGAGATCTGACTCGTGCAAAGATAAATCTATGGGAAGTCAAGGACTGACTTGTGTTATGATATACCTGTGTGAAATTGAAGTCTGACTTGTGTTATGATATACCTGTGTGAAATTGAAGTCTGACTTGTGTTATGATATACCTGTGTGAAATTGAGGTCTGACTTATGTAATGATATACCTGTGTGAAATTGAGGACTGACTTGTGTTATGATATACCTGTGTGAAATTGAGGTCTGACTTGTGTAATGATATACCTGTGTGAAATTGAGGTCTGATTTGTGTTATGATATACCTGTGTGAAATCATGGTCTGTCATATGTAAAGATTACTTCTGTGATGAAGCAGTCTGACATGTGTAAAGACCTACCACTGTTAAGTCGAGGTCTGATATGTGTAAAGACGTACCTCTGTTAAGTCGAGGTCGGATATATGAAAAGATGTACCTGTATTAAGTCGAGGTCTGATATGTGTAAATATGTACCTGTGTTAAGTCGAGGTCTGATATGTGTAAAGACGTACCTCTGTTAAGTCGAGGTCTGATATGTGTAAAGACCTACCTCTGTAAAGTCAAGGTCTGATATGTGTAAAGATGCACCTGTGTTAAGTCGAGGTCTGATATGTGTAAAGAAGTACCTGTGTTAAGTCGAGGTTTGATATGTGTAAAGAAGTACCTGTGTGAATTTGAGGTCTGATATGTGTAAAGACGTACCTGTGTGAAGTCGAGGTCTGACTTGTGCTGCCACTCCAGCCTGTAATCAGTAATTGTAGCACCATTGTTGACAGGAGAATCCCACAACACCATTGCACTGTGGGGGGAGCGACAGTTAACGAGAGGAGTTTTAGGGGGATCTGGTACCCCTGCTCCACTCACTACCTCCAAAGGCTCTGACCAGGGTCCACCCTAAAAAGACACAACTTTTTCAGTTTGCCATAAAACATTAGAGATCTGAGATAGATATTAAAATTGATCATTAAAATTAAAATCTATGTACTGGAAATAAGAAAAGACAACTTGTGCCTGGTTGAAGTATCCTGAATTAAGAAGTAACATACCCCAACCATATTGAATGCCCGGACTTGGAATAGGTATGGACGTCCTGGTGACAGACCGGCCACTATACAGTCAAGGTCACGACCTTTGAACACTTCTCGGCTTGTGTTATCCGGGTTGATCATCTGAGCTGCAAACTCCATAACATTTGCCCCTCCGTCATACTCTGGGTAACCTACAGAGGCCACATTAATAATCCTGACAGTGATATCTTATATAATTAGTAACTGTCAGTTAGTAGTTATATCTGGACCCAACATAGATGTTGTGAAGGTCTTAACACATTTTGTCTATTTTAAATGCCAATCACAGACTTGTAGCTGTCCTTTATAACCATATAATGACTCCAAATTTATCTTATTTTCCAAAAAAATTGTAAAAGTAATTTTCTTTGTTAAATGAAATAGGTATTCAGGAATATATGAAATGTAACTGGAAACAAAATCAAACTTTCTTTTTTTGCTAAGACTGCTATGCAAGAGTAGCAAGTTCTGATGAACACATATCTACATTAAACTATAAATCAATAGGAGTGTTGACAATGACTTACTCCAGCGTAAGTGAAGGGAAGTAGCTTTGGGTTTGCCTTGGAGCTTAGGAGCATGGCACTGTCCTGGGGAAACAGCATGTGTGGTAGCCATACAGAAGTCGGAGAACTGTAACAGAATAAGCTTCTCTAAAGACAACAAGTTACTTGGTTACATACATAAGATGATATCCCATTGGAAATGATCATTTCTGTCAAACTGCATTAGTACACAGAGAACAACCATTTTGTTATCATATTCAGCCTTTATCCATTTTTCTAAATCAGATGTAAATGGAAGACATACAGATATTAGTTTGTTCCTCCTACAAAATGGCTGGTCGCCCACCTGGCGCTACTTTTTTAAGGTACAGGTAAGGCAATGCTACAGGATGGTGACACTAATTAAGAAGTCAAGCTGTAATTGGATAATTTAATTGGTACTTAATCACCAAAGACCAAGTGTTGTGTGTACGATGGACCACCAATACGCCATAATTAGCCATGTGTTACACACAGGTGACTTTCTACTCTGTGTATGTATTGACTGATTTCATCAGAAGTTGTGCCAATGTTTGACAAAAATTAATTTTGAGACAACGAATGACTTTTCCCTTGCTTTACAACAGAATCTACTAAAAAATCGCTTCAACGCGGAAATTTGACTCAATAAATTCGAGTCATCCAAACTAAAATTACAACGATATATTCTGTGGATTGACTAACTGATCAATACTGAGACAACAGAAAAATGTAACTGAAAGTTTATTAAACATGATATCTCTTTAAATGTAAGACATAGACTGAATGCTCTTTTTTCACAGTGGAGGAATCCCTAACAACAAATATATATATGATTTATACATTAAAAGCCTTCTGTCACTAACTACCCTAACCCTACTTTTACATTGTATATAAGAGTTTAACATTGACATGGTCATGGTATGTTACCACCTTGATGATTCATTGTTGATGATCCTGGATACTTACATCACTTCGTCCACCTTTACTACAGCAGGCCACGCGGACCATGTAAGTATGGCCTGGAATGAGATGGTCACATTTGTGTTCCCTATCTGACCCCTCATACAATGTCTCATACCCTAAAATGAAAAAAAAAAAAAATAAAGGATTATAAACATCGTCATGGAAACCAGTCGTATCCAATAGACTATATACTATAGTAAAAAGATGGAATCAGATTAGGCAGTATATCAAAATACTTTGAATATTCTGGTAGATGTTAAGGAAATCAATCAATCAGGGTTTAATTCTTCATTAGATATCAGTTATAATAAGGTATCTAAGAATATTGGTCGATATTTTTTGGTATAAATTTGATATTGAATCATTGAATCATACACATCCACACAAAAAGATGAAAACCTAATGATACACAGATTTAAAATTCTAATTATTGAGTAAGCATGCAATTCTTAAAAAAATTGTGCAGGAAAATTATAAAACCATAACTGAAAAGCAGGGTATTCCTTTCTATTCAAAAGCATTACTCAACAACCTGTTTTAGTTAAGACATAGAAGGAACAGGATAATTCCTGACCAAATTTGACAATGTAGTACAGATTAGATTTAGATTTTTTCCCTTCCAAATTCTGTCATTCTACACCTCCCCGCAAACATAAAAATCTAATAATTTCCAAACCACCAATTAACTTACACTGTAATTCAGTGAAGCATATGACATTCTGGAGTCTACTTAGCACATTCAACATGAAAATAAGTGTCAAACACATGTTCTACAAATCTCATTCCTATCTTTACTGAAAACAGATTAGTGTAAAACCTCACAAGAAAAGAAATAGACTTTCAATGTCAAACTCAAGTTAGAAAAGCAACAGACATAGGTCACTGACATCTACAGATGATAGAGTGGTTAAAGGCTTGTCATAGTGTATCACTAACAATATAATAAAACTAAGCCCTAAATTATCAACAGAAACCCTAATATAGCAGAGTTCTAAGAATCTATCATTTCAAACGCCAAAGTCTTCAGCAGATTTACAGCTACAAATAGCATAAAAATAGCTTGCAACATCTATAAAGATAAAAAAAAATATATACTAGAAGTGACAAGATGACAATACAAACATATATTACCTCCGCCTGTTGGCATTAAACAGAGATAAAACATTTTACAGTTACTGAAAACATAACACATGTATTCTTACATCATATTTCTATGGTAAGTAACTTTCAACAGTTTTAAGGTTGGTACTGTGTACACTGGAAGTCAGGGAGTAGCTAATTGCATATTATAGTATTTTTGGGTCATTTTACTGATCAAATGAGATGGGACAATATGAAGTTGTCAAACATTGAGCTTAATACAAGAAATATATGGCAGTAAAAACAAGAAACATAAACCTTAATCAAGAGTTTAATTAGAAATTTTTGGTTTATAAACATGATCAGGTCTTACCTCTGCCGTCGTCTAGTTCTACAATATATTTGGTAATATCAGATCCTCCATTATCCTTGGGGGGGTCTGAAACATTCAGTCATTACAACATATAGGTGAGAACAGAAGTGTTTTAATAATAATAAATTTCATAGAATTTTGATAAATAAAATATTTATCCTGCAACATGTCCAGAGGGTCATTACATTTCCTCTGACACAAAGCCAGGGGGTGACTTATTACAGGACCTCAGGGGGTCAACATGTTCTCTTCTGACACAAAGTCAGGGGTGGGCTTATTACAGGACCCAGGGAATCAACATATTTGTTCTGACACAAACTTAGGGGTGGGCTTATTACAGAACACCACGGGTTAGCAGATTCTATATAACATTTTTGTGTTTATTCACTACTAAAATCTTATCTGTTGTAGTTACGAAAATACCGAGATTCCATTTAATCTGTAGACCTATGATTAAGAACATAACTACAAATATTCAAAAGAAATCACATTTTTCCTCAGAATCTAATATATTCAAGTACAGTCAAACTTCTACGAATCGATCTTCAATAATTCAAATTTCTCTAGGAGTCAAATTTTGGATGGGGCAAAAAATTCTTTTTTGATGTATCAGTCATTGATACTTAATGATTTGGACAAAACTTTAACATTACTGCACAGGAATTTTTGCCCTTTGTCAGAATTTAGTACATAATGTCACCTGACAAATGGATTATGATAGCACACTGGTTATACAATATTAATAAATGACTGGACACAAACTGATGTTTTAATTGCGTACTTAGAAGCCACGACATTTGATAAAAAAAAAAAAAAAGATAATGGGATGTCACATGATGTGTCGCCATTAAGGTTATAGCTTATAGAGAAGTCTATTTTATGGAAATGTAAAAACACACAGGAAATCCTAAACACTTTTATGATGTTTCCACAGATTTCTAAAGCATCACTTTTCAGTTTTAAATATAAAAGCATGAGAAACACAGTGATTTATCTGTCATTCACGTGTCCTTTTGATTCACACCAGCTGTTGTCAGAACATTGGCAAACACACTTATAATAAGAAGTGTTATATCAATGTTATCATTACTGGACAGAGTATGTGATGTTTTTATTTGATTTCTTTTAAATTCATTAGTGCCTGTAACATTAATGTAACACTCTTCAAATTATTGCTGTAACATGTGATGACCATTTTAATGCTGTGCATCACTTAGTTTAAAATTGATCTGTAAAATACATACACTGTACATGAAGGCACATAGATGTATTTACCTATCAAATAAAAATGTAAATGTAAGCACACATAGTCTATTTCTTGGTAACTTTTTGCCAAAATTTGTTTTTGTTTGTTTTTCCATGTAAGAAATTTCGTTTTAGAGATAAAAATGTCTCTTTTCATTTACACACGTACACTTGGGGTAATGGATACAACTACAATCAATATAACCCACCATGAATGCTTCAAAGTCATCCTGTACCAAAATGTTTAGCTAGTGACTTGAATTTCCAAGCATTGAAGTCTGACTGTATTATGATTGAAGTTTGACTGTATTAAGACTAAATAGTAACACTGGTTTCCTGTTATCCAACTTACCCCACACCACCTTGAAGCTATGGGCAAGGATCTTGCCTTTGATTTGAGGTTTGGGAGGAGGACTTGGTCGGTCAGGTAAAGTACGGAAACAGGAGACCTCACTCCACTTACTTTGGCCCTCATCATTCACTGCTGCCAACTTTTAAACAAATTTTGAAAATTATCATTTTGCATAAATCAGTTTGATTTAAGTCATCACTGATTTAACAGTCATCACTGACTTAACAGTCATCATTTTCAAATTTTAAATGTTCCCTGATTTTCCCTGTCTTATAATTTCTTTATCAAAATTAAGGAAAAACTCCATCAGAATTTATCACTAATATCTTTTTTTAAGATAAGAGATTCCCATCAATCCTGAAATATTTGCCCTTTACCAGCCAAGTTCTAGAAGTGTCAGAAATATCTGTCCTTTACTACTAGACCTTCTGGAGTTGTTTGAAATGTTTGTCCTCTATCAATAAGCTTTGTGGAGTTGTTTGAAATGTTTGTCCTCTATCAATAAGCTTTGTGGAGTTGTTTGAAATGTTTGTCCTCTATCAATAAGCTTTGTGGAGTTGTTTGAAATGTTTGTCCTCTATCAGTAAGCTTTCTGGAGTTGTTTGAACTATTGAGAGCAATAAGGAGTCATTACACAGTAATGGTAGAAATATTCCTACCCTGAATTTGTAATCAGTGTTTCGTCGTAATGCCTTTACTTTGTGAGAGAGATTTGGTCCATTATATTCAGTGATGAAACCATGTCCCTGTAAAAATAAGAAATATTTCACATCAGTTAATCAACTTTCTTTTTGCCTATAATATGTATAAGTATGAGAGCTTAATTCAAACTTCATGAAAATTTTGCAACTGATTTAAGGGTGTTAATAAACTGTACACTACACTAAGTTTCCATATTATAATCTGTTCTGATATGTAATTTACCTATATCATTTTGCCATTTGAATAGATAAACTCAATCGATGTACCTTTGCATATTTAATATATATTTTAATATGTATGTACACACATGTGCGATAACTTCTGTATCGTTAGTGAATCCCCCTTCACCATACCATGTTAATGTTTAGATTTGTACTGACCAGTCCAATTTCTGTATCAAAATGAGTCTGTTTATTAGGAGTAAATTGAAAAAAAAAGAGGAAGGTTTTTTCATACTTTATAAGAATATTAGCATACACTTGCGAAATTTCTACACAGATTCAACAAACTCATTATAAACTTTAAGCCACTTGTTTGAATACTTGTGACATATAAAATTAATTTGTTAAATTAATTCAAAATTGCATTGGTGCTTCAGAAAGACATTAATTATATTTGACCTTGATATGGCAATGACAACTACTTATCACCTGTGACCAGCACAACTTACTGTTGTTTCATCCTCTATCTGAAGAAGGAAGTTGTCCTCATTGGTGCGTTTGATCCAGGAGATTGTGAGGGCGGAGATGAAAGTTTCTGACAGCATGGGTGGATCTGGCTGTGATGGAACACTACCACTAGTACAGTAGCTGGCAAGGTCACTGAACTGACTGTAAACATGAATATACCAGACTTCACTAAAATGACTGCAAAAACATTGTTTGTTTGTCAGTATAGAGGACTGACAGGCCTATGACTGACAATTTAATGAAAACTGAAAGGAGACCATGTATTCCATGCCAAAATCGAAAAAAAAACATGAACAAAAAACAAAAAAAAAACCACACCCTTTTAATTTTAAACAGATTTCTGAAACAACAGAACAGACTTTTCTAATCTGAATAATGCACAAAGCATGTGTATAAAAGTATTAGAATTTTTTTGCAGCTTGCAGATCAGAAGAGTTTTATAACGTGGAATACAAGATATTCAAAGCAGGGATGAATAATACAGATATTATACATCCCTGATTGAAAGCTTCCACATGTATATTGATACATTTCAAACTTAACAATATTTTCAGAAAGAGAATACTTTATTGAAGGTTATGTAGTAATGGATGATTTAAATGGAACAGATTCCAATCAACAGTGTTAACATATGTAAACATTTACACATACACTTAGAAACAAAATACACTTTCCAAAATGTAATATGTAACATGTGACATGGCAGAGAAAAATGACATCAAGTAATCTTTGAAAGAGGAGAATGATATATCTTTTGAAATTTTTGTTCATTAATACCAGCAACTACTGTGCTTGCTAACATCCTGACACTTTGACATAACTAGAGCTCAACATATAGTCTTTCTGAGGTCACAAGAAAGCACAGGTCACAGTGACCTACATTTGATACATTTCTACAAGAGTTAGGTTTGATTATTTATTTGCTTATCCTCTAGAATTAATGTATGATATGTAAGTAAACATTAACCCAACGTTTTTTCCAAGTTTTCAATTTGCCCACAAATTCATGTAAAATAAATCATTATTCAAATTTTAATATCAAACTTTAGTTAACCTTTCATAACTGCCCTCTGATTGGCCAAAGGGCATAACTAGCAGAAGTTAAATTTTTGGAAGATTGAGGAGTAAACAGAACAGATAAAGTAATAGATGACTTAAAATCAGAGCCAGGTGTTTCTCAAGCATGGCATTCCTTCAGTCTCATAAATGAAAATTAACATGCTGACTAAGAGATGATGCTGGATCATTAATATAACATACCTTTTACCCACACTGTTAATGGCAGCTAACCTAAAAGTATATTTAGTGGTAGCTTGAAGCTTTGAGACCCGATGTTGGCGCTGGAGACCATTGTACACTTCAGTGAAACCATCTCCTTGGCCCTGTAGATTAAAGTCAAAACATTGTCAGGTATAGAAGTCAATTTTTCTCATAGATTCTTTAAGGGGAAACAACCAAATATAGAGGAATGATGTCACATGTCCACGTATAGTGTACAGATACTTACCTTATCACATTCTAGTGTATACGTTGAGATTCTAGCCCCATTTTCACATGTTGCCTGAAAAATATCAATCAAGTAGATTTATCATTTAAACCTGATTTTCAGCAGTACATTTAACAGAGGATCAGAACAGGTCCATCATTACCAATTTATGTGTTGTTATCATCCATTTTCAATGGAAACAAGATCACTCTTGATTTCTACTTTTCTTTAGATGAAAAAGTGCTTAGAAAATAAATTTCATATTTCTGTACTGTTACAATGAGCAATCTAGAGGTTTCAAGCATCCATGCCTATGACTCACTGGAAAGAAAAAAATAACATTGAGTCTTAGTTTACACTTGATAAAACAGCAGTCCAGACCAAATTGACCAAAAAAATCAAAGGATTTCAAAGATCTACTGTAGAAATGTGATAAATGGAAAATTGAAAAAGGTACTGAAATATCTGGAAAATTGCTACTTAAATCTAAGGACTGGTTTCGATAATCAGATAATGAAATTATTAAGTTTGAGCTAAATTGAAATGGTTTTTATTGATTTCAGATCTGTGATGTGATGTGACAGAAGGTGAGACTCACGTTCCATTTAAGAGTAATGGAGGTTTTGGTCCGCGCATGTAACTTCGGCATTTGTGGGGGATCCGGCTCACAGATCGCCGTCAGAAATCTCACAGGCTCTGTCGCACTGCCTTTTACATCCTCCAGTGATGTGCATACTCTATAAATACAAAATTTTTAAAAATTTTTTAAAAAAGCTAATAACACAAAGGGAAAAAATCAATAAAGATAGTGACACTACCGTTTTGCAGCCAAATATTCAATTAGTATAACATCATTATTAATGCATGTGTAGTATCACAGATTTAGAATTACAATAATAACATTAGATATAACTTAGCACAGGAACAACTCAGACACTCCCCACCATATGTTACAGAAATTCCTCCAAGGCACCAAGTGCATATCCTGTTTACATTTTACATCTTTTTTCCCCCACCAAGCTGTAACTGATTCAGATCCAAATACACATTCTTAAGCAGCAGGAAAACAGGACACAGAATAACTGGCCAGTTGTATATATATATAACCTGACATTCAATGTCAGTTTATGAGTTTTAATGGGTACAAAAATGGGCCAATAGATTTTCTTAAAATTTTGTTTTTATTTTTGCTATTAAATGTCAAATTCATGAAATTTCAATCTTTCATACAACAGAGGGTCTTAATGAATCATCATAAGAACAGAATTCCACAGGTATCATTTATTGACAACACTGCAAAAAATTTCTACAGAATTCCACAGGTATCATTTATTGACAACACTGCAAAAAATTTCTACAGAATTCCACACGTATCATTTATTGACAACACTGCAAAAAATTTCTACAGAATTCCACAGGTATCATTTATTGACAACACTGCAAAAAATTTCTACAGAATTCCACAGGTATCATTTATTGACAACACTGCAAAAAATTTCTACAGAATTCCACAGGTATCATTTATTGACAACACTGCAAAAAATTTCTACAGAATTCCACAGGTATCATTTATTGACAACACTGGAAGAAAATTTCTACAGAATTCCACAGGTATCATTTATTGACAACACTGGAAGAATATTTCTGGAAGAAAACAGAATTCCACAGGTATCATTTATTGACAACACTGCAAAAAATTGACAACACTGGAAGAATATTCTACAATTCCATTCCACAGGTATCATTTATTGACAACATGTAGAATTCCACAGGTATCATTTATTGACAACACTGGAAGAAAATTTCTACAGAATTCCACAGGTATCATTTATTGACAACACTGGAAGAAAATTTCTACAGAATTCCACAGGTATCATTTATTGACAACACTGCAAAAAATTTCTGGAAGAAAACAGAATTCCACAGGTATCATTTATTGACAATACTGCAAAAAATTTCTACAGAATTCCACAGGTATCATTTATTGACAACACTGCAAAAAATTTCTACAGAATTCCACAGGTATCAATTATTGACAACACTGGAAGAAAATTTCTACAGAATTCCACAGGTATCATTTATTGACAACACTGGAAGAAAATTTCTATAGAATTCCACAGGTATCATTTATTGACAACACTGGAAGAATATTTCTACAGAATTCCACAGGTATCATTTATTGACAACACTGGAAGAAAATTTCTACAGAATTCCACAGGTATCATTTATTGACAACACTGGAAGAAAATTTCTACAGAATTCCACAGGTATCATTTATTGACAACACTGGAAGAAAATTTCTACAGAATTCCACAGGTATCATTTATTGACAACACTGTGGAAGAAAATTTCTTCAGAATTCCACAGGTATCATTTATTGACAACACTGGAAGAAAATTTCTACAGAATTCCACAGGTATCATTTATTGACAACACTGGAAGAAAAACATCCACAGGTATCATTTAGAATTCCACAGGTATCATTTATTGACAACACTGTGGAAGAAAATTTCTTCAGAATTCCACAGGTATCATTTATTGACAACACTGGAAGAAAATTTGACAACACCTACAGAATTCCACAGGTATCATTTATTGACAACACTGGAAGAAAATTTCTACAGAATTCCACAGGTATCATTTATTGACAACACTGTGGAAGAAAATTTCTACAACTTATTTTTAAACATTAGTGTCGATATTTTAAATGGTTACACGACTTCAAAATCAATCTTAAAAAAAGTATACGTTGTAATTGATTTCAAGGACATATGCCGTTAAATAAGCAAACCTGAATATCCAATTGCTAATATCAGAGAACATCAGAAAGCGACATCGATCAAAACTTTGTCTCATTTACTTTATACTGATAAATAATAAATTTGCCTTCGCTAGAAAAACCTCCCTTGTGACATAAAAAATTCATACCAGAAATGAAGTATGAAATTTCTCTCCAGCAAGGGAACAGTTAAACAGATCTGTCACTGTGTGGATGGGCCATTCATATGAAATAGTGATAGTCGGGGCATGAACAAAAACTCAACTCCTTGGTGACTAACACTTTCATTTTCATGGTACATAAGATCACATATCCGAGAAACACATCCACTGATGATCTGCGGAGTACGAATCACATTTCCTCGAGGACTCTATTTGTTGACTCTGAAGTCACATACCCAGGAAATGAAAGATTCACATGATCTCAGAATATCACAATTAAAACTGTAGTATATGTGGTGATACAACTCTAAGAATCTTGGATCATGAAACAGAAAAATCACCTGTCCCAGGAAAGTAAATCCTAATATGATGCTTGGAGTTACGTTATATTGCCCTAAGAAATTAGAGTGACACATGCTCACTAAGCTGAAAGACATACAATGACGGGCAGAGTAATATTGTAATAATACAGGCTGTTCTGTCACAGCTATTAGAAAAGGGGAGTCATATTCCAAGAACTGTGATATTGTAGGATTACTTGTAGCAGAATGAGAGTCATATATTCTAAGGACTGTTATCTTGTAGGATTCCTTGTAGCAGAACTAGAGTCACATTATACAGAGTTATCTTCCCTGCTCCTTTGTGTAGTCACATATCTCAAACACTAAACAATGGACTATTGTCACAATATTTATCCACAAATAAGTCCATGCTTAATAATAACATGATTATTTCAAAAACAGATCAAAAGAAATATTTCATTGTCCTGCAGTAAACTCCCTTATTTGAATAAAGCTTACATTTCAACCCCTTGGACTGTTGCACAATAAATACTCTATTGTAGTAGAAATCAAAATAAGGTAAGTTGTACATGTTAGACAACAGCCAAGGGTTTATAATAGGATTATTGTTGGGTATGCAGTTAATGGTCTGTGATGTAGGTGAATTCACACAGATTTTCCAATTAAAGATCAACTCTTTTACAGGTACACTATTATACAAATGTGTAGACTAGAGCAATCTATGACATTGATACTTATACTCACTTTAAATGATATTCAGTGGCTGGTTTCAAATCTTTTAGTGTAATTTCTGTTGCATCACCCCTGAAACAATGTAAAAGGTTACCTCACAGGAAAATCATGACAATTATGAACACTTCCAAATACAAAATAAATCAAGATTTATAATGCCATGAAAAGAGGGAAAAGAATTTGGAACTGGTCAGTAAGATGTTAGGTAGTTTCATCAACTGATAAAAAGCTACTCTCATCTTCCGTTACCCTCAATGTATTAATGCTACTGTAGATACAATGATATCTACTATCACAAATAGTCACAAAAAAGATATATATATTTATTCTATTACACAATTCTCTGATAATTTCAGCTGTTCAGGATATCACTTCCATTCCTGTAATGACTGAATGTGGGATAAATTGATTCTATGTGCACAGCCTTGTGCTGGCTGACGTTAATACACCCAACAATTTGATTTTGTCTCATTTGTGTACCTGTAATTGTGCTGGTTTGGAGAGACAGGGAAAGCACCTAACTTGAATGTAATAAAACTGGCTGTAAGATTATTGCCAGCAACTGCACATCAGGGCCAAGTTTGCCCTAAAAATTCAATACTTGCAAGGTATTTGAAATCCTAACACATTACCTAAATTGCTAGATAAACTCTGTTTCTTTTGCTCTGCCTTACGTTCTCTACATCAAAAGTTCCATTACTTTATTTTTGTCAAAGGGAATGTTAAAGAAAAAGCAATATATTTCAATTTGTTCAACTGACTATTTCTAGAATTACTGTTTTCCAAACTAAAGACAATGATAGAGTAAATTCTCTTACATCCTACTACTCCTGTAGGAATTAAAGTCTGTTGCTGAAATTTGGTCTGAAGCATTCTTGGGTGAAGAGGAATCAATTTTGATAAGTGAGCGATACAGGCAATATGCCTCTTTTGTTTAAAAATCCTAGTCCTCCTGTAGAAATGAACAGATATTGCCCAAATTTGGTCTGAAGCATTCCTGGGTGAAGTGAAATCAATCTAATTTAAAACTCAGGTCTCGGCCCTCTTTGTATAGGACTTTTACTTACGAGTAGACCAACTTATATTTGCCATCCTTTCCTTTATCAGACAACAGAAGCTCATACTGGAACTCCGCTGCTTCTATCACAAACTCATTCTGATCATATTCTGGTGGTGCCAGGTGAATTAAGGCACTTCTTGCTTCCACTTCTGTTACCTGTAATAAAGTCAGGAGAATTACTGGTAAGTACAAAAATATCAAGGTTCTAACATTCTAGTGTTGTTTGTCTGAACTACCCCTGGTTCTAACATTCTAGTGTTGCTTTTCTGACCTACCCCTGGTAACATTCTAGTGTTGTTTGTCTGAACTACCCCTGGTTCTAACATTCTAGTGTTGTTTTTCTGACCTACCCCTGGTTCTAACATTCTAGTGTTGTTTTTCTGACCTACCCCTGGTTCTAACATTCTAGTGTTGTTTTTCTGATCTACCCCTGGTTCTAACATTCTAGTGTTGTTTTTCTGACCTACCCCTGGTTCTAACATTCTAGGGCTGTTTTTCTGACCTACCCCTGGTTCTAACATTCTAGTGTTGTTTTTCTGACCTACCCCTGGTTCTAACATTCTAGGGCTGTTTTTCTGACCTACCCCTGGTTCTAACATTCTAGGGCTGTTTTTCTGACCTACCCCTGGTTCTAACATTCTAGGGATGTTTGTCTGACCTACCCCTGGTTCTAACATTCTAGTGTTGTTTGTCTGAACTACCCCTGGTTCTAACATTCTAGGGCTGTTTTTCTGACCTACCCCTGGTTCTAACATTCTAGTGTTGTTTTTCTGAACTACCCCTGGTTCTAACATTCTAGGGCTGTTTTTCTGACCTACCCCTGGTTCAGGCATGTTAGATAATTGGTGTTGAATGATCTTCCTTTCTTCTTCTAGGTCCTGTCCTGTGTCTACTGGGGGTGTGTTGGTTATGCTTCCTGGCTGGATCTCTCCATTTACTGTAAATTTAGATAATTAATCATTAAAAACAATTCAAACCTAAAAAAAATGACATTGATGTAACAATGGAACCAAATATGAGTAAAACAATTAAAATGATGTATATGGTGCCCCCTCCCCCTCTCAAAAAAAAAAACTTTGTAAGAATCTACTGTGTACATATTCTCATTTATGATTATTACAATTATCCTGAATGTTCTCACTAATGCTTTAGTTTGTGTTATATTGTTAGAACTAGATACCCATATCTGTGATGGTGTTAACATGAAAATTCCCATCACTAAACTTCTCTAAAATGATGTGCGAGGTACTACTTTTTTTCACATATTTTTTATTACTACTTTTTTTCACATATTTTTTTATTAACTTATCTGCACAAATAAATGTTTTCTTACACAAAGGAAATGTTTTTCTTTGCCAGATCAAGCTGTTTAAATGTTGCATTAGAAATGATTTCAGGAATACTGTAACAGTAGATAACAAAAGTAATGTACACACTAACATTCCCAGAGGAGAGAGATGAAGGGATATGTCTGTTTTGTTCTGGTGCAGCCATTAGAAGTTGACAGTAAATGTGTTAGAAATTTGATATCCTGTTTTATTTATTCTGTGATCAACACAACAGTATCAGTTTCAAGAGCTTTTCTCCACCTGGCTGAACATGTTGCTGCTCCCAATCTTTTAATATAAATTCTGTTCCCAACCTTTTTATTTTAATTCTATTAATCTGTTTCCTCTAAATAAAATTCACACACATTATATAAACTACTAAATAGGTTAGGATCTGCTTGTTGAAAGTTCATTAAGTCATTGGCAGAAAGTATGTCAGGAAACAGTGCACTAGAGGACTCAGTGAGACATGGAACTATGTACAGCAGGATGTTACATTGATGAGATTTGAAATCGAAAAGGTTATATTAAATTTGTTAAAAATCCAGAACAAGACAATAATATGATGTAATTATACATTGTTAAGAAATCAAAGTAAATTAAGGTTTTGATCAGCAGATCATAAATGTTATACAACAGACATATGTCATGTGCCCCTGAATCATCAGAACAGTAGCTACATAGCATAATGCATACATTTTATTTTCATTATAATATTTTAATAGAAATTATAAAATCATTTGAAAAAACAAAAACAACAAGATTACACAAAAACACTTGAACATAAAGTTTAGAGAATAATATGAAAATTGCAATATCACATTAGGCATCAAGAAATTGGAAAGACGAAAGATCCTCCAATCAATAGAGTAACGAGCCAGTGTAGGGAACGTTTGTCTCCAGATCATAACAACTCTTCATGAAGAATGATTCAGTGGTTTGTGACTGGCACGTGATAAATATCATCGAGGTGCATGTCATTGACCGAGATTCTGGCAAGCCCTGAGAAGACCTAAACATGTTAACACAAGTGGATGAAAGTTTCATGAAAAAAAATAGTGTCTAATTTATTATGGAATCCTTACATCTTAAAAATATCAATTCATGATAAACTTAGCAAAATTATTTAGTGGGATGAAAAAAAAAAACAAAAAAAATGACCCAACCCCTAAGGATAAAAAAAAATTTCTAATGAAATATTTATGCTTGATTCAATTCATTGAAATATATATAAATATATGAATTAATGGTTGAAAACATTTCCTGCCAGTAGATTTTTCATCATCACTGTTATCAGTTCTATCAGGAGAAAAATTCAGCATGTCTTTATTGTATCAGTTGTTTATGGAAATGAAACTTTCTCATTTTTTTTCAGTGAAGTAGAATGACAATAAACTTGGAAAAAATTAATTTGATATGAAAGGAAATTAAAAAATAAAATAAATAATTTTCTCTTCTACACTGACTGATATCCAGAAGTGTTAAAATAGCAAGCTTAATTTATTATTTTCATATCTGAAAATCCACAAAAAGAAAAAATCCCAGATTTTCACCTCTGAATGAGTACCCGATGACCTTTACCAACCTGCTGACAGCCAGGTACATCCCCTATTGACCAAGGCCTACCACGACTTTTTGTGGGGAAAGTGTGAGTTTTATTCTAGACATACTTGTGGTTTTACTGTCTGGATTTAAACATGACTCGACAGAAGAATTGGAAAAGACAGGTGATTTAAACCACATATGAATGGCAATCAACAGGTGTTACACAGGTAACACAGAAAAAGTGAAGGATCAAATTTCCCAAGTCCTGGTTATTTTACTGATAAATGATTATGTATTTGTATATATTATATTAATTCCTTTTTTTTTTTTTTAACTTTTTTCCTAAAAATGATATAGGGGTATAGCAGTAACTACTGCAACAGTTACCATTATATCATCTATATTACATTCAACACAGTTAAATGGACATCACCATCACCATAATTATATGGACATCACTATCACTACAGTTACAGAGATATTATAATCACTATCATTACAGATATACTACTATCACTATAGTTACTGGGATATTACAATCACTAAAGTTGCTGAGAAATAGTGTCATTACACTTGCAGAAGAAAATTGAAACCCAATTAGTTTACAGCAATGTTCCCTTTTACAGATACTCCTTGATTTCTATCCCTGTAAATGTTCCTTTTACAGATACTCCTTGATTTCTATCCCTGTAAATGTTCCTTTTACAGATACTCCTTGATTTATATCCCTGTAAATGTTCCCTTTTACAGATACTCCTTGATTTCTATCCCTGTAAATGTTCCTTGATTTCTATTTAAATGTTCCCTTTTGATTTCTATCCCTGTAAATGTTTCCTTTTACAGATACTCTTTGATTTCCATCCCTGTTCCCTTTTATAATATTCCTTGATTTCTATCCCTGTAAATGTTCCTTTTACAGATACTCCTTGATTTCTATCCCTGTAAATGTTCCCTTTTATAGATACTCCTTGATTTCCATCCCTGTAAATGTTTCCTTTTACAGATACTCCTTGATTTCTATCCCTGTAAATGTTCCTTTTACAGATACTCCTTGATTTCTATCCCTGTAAATGTTCCTTTTACAGATACTCCTTGATTTCTATCCCTGTAAATGTTCCCTTTTATAGATACTCCTTGATTTCCATCCCTGTAAATGTTCCCTTTTATAGATAATCCTTGATTTCCATCCCTGTAAATGTTCCCTTTTACAGATACTCTTTGATTTCCATCCCTGTAAATGTTCCTTTTACAAATACTCCTTGATTTTTATCCCTGTAAATGTTTCCTTTTACAGATACTCCTTGATTTCTATCCCTGTAAATGTTTCCTTTTACAGATAATCCTTGATTTCTATCCCTGTAAATGTTTCCTTTTACAGATACTCCTTGATTTCTATCCCTGTAAATGTTCCCTTTTACAGATACTCCTTGATTTCTATCCCTGTAAATGTTCCTTTTACAGATACTCCTTGATTTCTATCCCTGTAAATGTTCCCTTTTATAGATACTCCTTGATTTCCATCCCTGTAAATGTTCCTTTTACAGATACTCCTTGATTTCTATCCCTGTAAATGTTCCCTTTTATAGATAATCCTTGATTTCCATCCCTGTAAATGTTCCCTTTTACAGATACTCCTTGATTTCTATCCCTGTAAATGTTCCCTTTGTAAATGTTCCCTTTTACAGATACTCCTTGATTTCTATCCCTGTAAATGTTCCCTTTTATAGATACTCCTTGATTTCTATCCCTGTAAATGTTTCCTTTTATAGATACTCCTTGATTTCTATCCCTGTAAATGTTCCCTTTTATAGATATTCCTTGATTTCCATCCCTGTAAATGTTCCCTTTTACAGATACTCCTTGATTTCCAACACTGTAAATGTTCCTTTTACAGATACTCCTTGATTTCTATCCCTGTAAATGTTCCTTTTACAGATACTCCTTGATTTCTATCCCTGTAAATGTTTCCTTTTACAGATACTCCTTGATTTCTATCCCTGTAAATGTTCCCTTTTATAGATACTCCTTGATTTCCATCCCTGTAAATGTTCCCTTTTATAGATAATTCTTGATTTCTATCCCTGTAAATGTTCCCTTTTACAGATACTCCTTGATTTCCATCCCCGTAAATGTTCCTTTTACAGATACTCCTTGATTTCTATCCCTGTAAATGTTCCTTTTACAGATACTCCTTGATTTCTATCCCTGTAAATGTTCCTTTTACAGATACTCCTTGATTTCCATCCCTGTAAATGTTCCCTTTTACAGATACTCCTTGATTTCTATCCCTGTAAATGTTCCTTTTACAAATACTCCTTGATTTCTATCCCTGTAAATGTTTCCTTTTACAGATACTCTTTGATTTCCATCCCTGTAAATGTTCCCTTTTATAGATATTCCTTGATTTCTATCCCTGTAAATGTTCCTTTTACAGATACTCCTTGATTTCTATCCCTGTAAATGTTCCTTTTACAGATACTCCTTGATTTCTATCCCTGTAAATGTTCCCTTTTATAGATACTCCTTGATTTCTATCCCTGTAAATGTTCCTTTTACAGATACTCCTTGATTTCTATCCCTGTAAATGTTCCTTTTACAGATACTCCTTGATTTCTATCCCTGTAAATGTTCCTTTTACAGATACTCCTTGATTTCTATCCCTGTACATGTTTCCTTTTACAGATACTCCTTGATTTCTATCCCTGTAAATGTTCCTTTTACAGATACTCCTTGATTTCCATCCCTGTAAATGTTCCCTTTTATAGATAATCCTTGATTTCTATCCCTGTAAATGTTCCCTTTTACAGATACTCCTTGATTTCTATCCCTGTAAATGTTCCTTTTACAGATACTCCTGGATATTCACCACTATCTTTTTCAAAGTTCTTATTCTTTACCATTCTTGATAATTATGTAAAATATTAATCAAACGTTTTATTTTGATATATTGTCTTTTAGATTTCACATATCTTTACAGTTCATTAGATTGTTAATTTTACAAATTCACATGAAACATTTTAGGGCAAGACTAAATAAATAAACTAGGGCCATATGTGATAAAATATTTGCCAACTCATCAGAATTTGTAGACAGAGTGTATGACTAATAGTACAAGTTACAGTCAGCCTTAAGGCTCAATGTACCTACGTAACATAACACTGCTCCATAATAATCACTTTATGACCAAGAATTTCTGATGTTTCCCATCCTCAATAAAAAAACAGAACCTCACTCGCAATGTTAACTGAAAAAATATAGCTATAACATATAATTTGGATTTATTACTGACATCCTTCAGGTCATTTTGATGGCCCCAGTTTTCTTACATTTCATTGAACAGTACACACTCCAACAACATCAGGCTGCAAGTAGTGGATTTCCTATATCAAACATGTAAGGTTAAGCCTTTAAAAAACTAACACTTGTGTGCACTTACAAGGATTACATCCTTAATCTACAAACACCTGAGTAAACCTTTACAAGTGTAACACCTGAGAACACAATTACAAGTGTAACACTCGTGTACACCTTTACAACTATAACACCTGTGTACACCTTTACAAGTGTAACACCCGTGTACACCTTTACAACTATAACACCCGTGTACACCTTTACAACTATAACACCTGTGTACACCTTTACAACTATAACACCTGTGTACACCTTTACAACTATAACACCTGTGTACACCTTTACAACTATAACAACTGTGTACAACTTTACAACTATAACATCCGTGTACACCTTTACAACTATAACATCCATGTACACCTTTACAACTATAACATCCGTGTACACCTTTACAACAATAACACCCGAGTACACCTTTACAACTATAACATCCGTGTACACCTTTACAAGTGTAACACTCGTGTACACCTTTACAACTATAACACACGTGTACACCTTTACAACTATAACACCTGTGTATACAATACAAGTATAACACATGTGTGAACCTTTACAACTATAACATTGTGTACACTTTTATCATAAGTGACACACCTGTGCATACATTTACAAGTGTATACGATATAAGTATAAAGATGTACACAAGTGGTATACTTGTGTACACCTCTACAAGTGTGATATTTGAGTTTACAAATGTAACATCTGTGTATACCTTTATGGGTGTAACAAGTGTATACACCTTTACCGGTGTAACACTTCTGTATACCTTTACATCAGTTATACCTGTGTTCACCTTTACAAGTATAACACACATGTACACCTTTACGGGTGTAACACTTCTGTATACCTTTACATAAGTAATACCTGTGTACATCTTTAAAATATAACACCTGTGTTCACCTTTAAAAGTGTAACACCTGTGTATACATTCACAAGTGTAACACCTGTGTATACATTCACAAGTGTAACACCTGTACAGTATTACAGGTGAGTGTCTGACAACACATTTAGAGTATACCTTGACTTTCCCTGCAGTGCTATACCACCTGTGAACATACTCCTGTTTTTCTTTAACAAGGCTCTCTGTTGGACCAATTTCGGATCTGGTTTGGACATTTGCCAAATAGAAGTTCCCGGAAATGATTTTGCAACCCTCAATCTATATCTCACATGATGGGATACACACAGACTTTATGGTATTTGAGCATCTGATGTTATAGATACAACACAGCCATGCTGGCAAAGACAGTAGCAAAGAGCAACAGCATCGGTAACATATCTTGTATGTTAAGTAAGCCTTACTAGAAAGACGATTAAACAATGCTCAGTTCCACTTATAAACCCTTTTATATTATACCAATGGTAAAATGGAACAGAACATTTTAAGTGGTTACAATGTGAGTAAGCAATTGTCTATTTTGTTTTGTCTGAAAATTGACCATCAATCAGGACTATAAATAGTTATCTTTTCAATATCTTGTTTGGTCATCACAGGTAACCATCAGTTGATCTTAGCAGATAAAAAAGATCTTGCTAGTAGACAAGATATCTCCCTCATGTCTCCTCACATCCTAGCCAGTCAAATTTCTTTAAAATGAATGAATCAATCCAAATTTAAAGTTTAGGCTCAACCCACTGTTACCATGATATGTAGCCCAAGAATACCAGCGAGTGACTGCTTGCCTTGAGCGACTATCTTACAGAAGGCACATGTGCATACTGATCACTGAAAGCTAAATACCTGGTTATGTCCTGGCATTAAGCCAGGTAGCATACACCCAAATTTTGAACTGGTTTGACCCCTGACAACTAAGGGAAATAACTATGTAGGAATTGAGAGTGATTTTGAATTATTCTGATTTTGAACATTGAAGATGAAAAAAATCATTCTCAATTTCCCCATCCCCCTGCCTCTATCTAATCATTAATACAAAGAGGAAAATGCTTTAAACAGAGGATTGAAACATGAGGTATCTTTTAAATCATTTGACACCCCCCTTTTTTTCCTCCAGCGTAAAACACAAGGGAAGTAACTCCTATCACAGCACATCTGTCACTAAATGACCCATGGCAGGTCTGTGCATCTAGAAAAGAGTGATGAATGAGTTTGAACTGGACGTGGTGCTGGTATATATTGTCTAATAATGGATTGTTTTGGCAGTGTGTTAACATAACTTAACTCAACTATGATGATTTATTACTATCATGACAGGTTCCAGGTTTTTTTCCCATTTTACTTGTATTGTCTCATTACAATAGTTTTATATCTCTAGCCAAAATTTCATCTCCGAAGAAGTTGATAACTATTTCCGCGGAATTCTCTGTTCCCCTCCCCTCAAAAAACGCCTACTGCAAATATGTAACCAAGAAAAAATTATGAATTATTTTTGTAAAGATGTAATGGTATTTTCAGAATTCAGACATAACAGATGTCAGTGATTCCCTAATTCGTTGCGTTAAGCCATTTTGTCCCATCTTGGAGAATTAACTCCAACCCTGAACAATGCTAGTTTGTGACTGATGCAAACCTCATTCTGAATAGTGACAAGAATGCCTAGCCTGTCTATTTAGGTAAGTTTTTGATATAATACTTGTTTGTCTCATTGTGACCGTATGCAAGAATGATACTGTTTTGAAAGATGGCAACACTACTTATAGCACACCATTGCTAACAAGGGTTGCAGGTAAATCGTTAGACAATTTGAAGCAATCGCAAAGCTAGCTGGAGTACTAACATCTATTTCAAGGTGATGTGACAATAGGCTGAAACCATAACTGTGTTTCAATTAGCTTAAAAAGGAAAACGATAATGGCTTTGTTTTTTTTTATGTGTATGGTGTTGTCCTCTAATCAATTTAGCATAACTCTGATCTCAAATATATATTAAACATTAAAATAAGGTATGACTTTGACTTGACTTTGACCTCAACTTTACACTTAATATAACTATCCTGACCTCAACTTTACACTTAATATAACTATCCTGACCTCAACTTTACACTTAATATAACTATCTATTTCATTTATTTATCTATTTCACATCCACTATCACTGCCTTTTGGCCTTTCAGTGGATGAGGTTAATATGACCATAACCATAAGCTCTATAATGGTCATGACCTTGACCTCTACTGGAGTTTAGGTATCACTTTGACCTTTAAAGTTTGGCTTGACTGAATATAGTTATTAGATATGTAACTTTAATCTTACCTTTAGGCTTAGTAGATCGCCGGGGAGGTGGCCTTTGGTTGTAAAATCCTTCCTCCAGTCTCTGATAATACTTTTTCCGTACTTTCTCTCTCTGCCGATTTGTTCTGTTCTCCATTGAACTTTGTTGACTTGGTCCTAGAAAAAAGTTTGAAAAAAATCCAAAATCAATCACCAGTATACATATTGATCAATAGATCAATGTCTGTACATAAGTGGATAGTTTGATAAGTGGATCAATGTCTGTACATATAGTGGATTGTTTGATGAGTGGATCAATGTCTGTACATTAAGTGGATGGTTGGATGAGTGGATCAATGTCTGTACATGAATGGTTTAGTCTGTGCATTAAGTGGATGGTTTGATCAGAAGATCAATGTCTGTACATTAAGTGGATGGTTTGATGAGTGGATCAATGTCTGTACATCAAGTGGATGGTTTGATGAGTGGATCAATGTCTGTACATTAAGTGGATGGTTTGATCAGTAGATCAATGTCTGTACATTAAGTGGATGGTTTGATCAGTAGATCAATGTCTGTACATTAAGTGGATGGTTTGATAAGTGGATCAATGTCTGTACATTAAGTGGATGGTTTGATGAGTGGATCAATGTCTGTACATTAAGTGGATGGTTTGATGAGTGGATAAATGTTTGTACATAAATCAGAAGGTTCACTATGTAAATATCATTTAACAGATAGACACTATTTTCTTTATGTGAAATTTTCGCTTGTTTCCAAGAAAGCTAATCACATATGACTAACAATATTGTTTTTTTTTACATAGAGAAAGGTTTTGTTTCTCTCTTGAACTTGACACAAACAGCTATTAAAACAAGTATAGTTATGCAAATAAAAATATATATGGTAACCTAGGATTAAACTAAGGATATTGGACTAGAAAGAAAATGATGTATTGTGACTGGTAAATCAAAGTGATTGATTTTAATCACTGCATTTACCTAAGCTTGACATTTCCTGCCAAAAGGTCATCTGGGCGAGACAAGCCATTATACTGATCAATAATTACACCTGTCACCACAGCCTACAGCAACAGGATTGTATGTTCAGTATCAATACATTCAGTTCTAATTACTCTTCAACTGCCAAGATGTAATACATTTAGATAAACTCCTCAACTACCTGTTAAAACTATAATATACCACTGGACTTATTCTAATCTGACACCAAGTGAGACACAGTATACTGGTCAGATTAACCTGTCTAATCTGACACCAAGTGAGACACTGTATACTGGTCAGATTAACCTGTCTAATCTGACACCAAGTGAGACACAGTATACTGGTCAGATTAACCTGTCTAATCTGACACCAAGTGAGACACAGTATACTGGTCAGATTAACCTGTCTAATCTGACACCAAGTGTGAAGCAGTATACTGATCAGATTGACCTGTCTAATCTGTGAGAGAAAATATACTGATCAGAATAACCTGTCTTATCTGACACTGTGATACAGTATACTACACTGTTTAATCTGTCTAATCTGTGTGAGAGACAGTATACTGGTCAGATTGACCTGTCTAATCTGTGTGAGAGACAGTATACTGGTCAGATTGACCTGTCTAATCTGTGTGAGAGACAGTATACTGGTCAGATTGACCTGTCTAATCTGTGTGAGAGACAGTATACTGGTCAGATAACCCTGTCTAATCTGACACCAAGTGTGAAGCAGTATACTGATCAGATTGACCTGTCTAATCTGTGTGAGAGACAGTATACTGGTCAGATTGACCTGTCTAATCTGTGTGAGAGACAGTATACTGGTCAGATTGACCTGTCTAATCTGTGTGAGAGACAGTATACTGATCAGAATAACCTGTCTTATCTGACACTGTGATACAGTATACTAGATATGTCTAATCTGTGTGAGAGACAGTATACTGGTCAGATTGACCTGTCTAATCTGTGTGAGAGACAGTATACTGGAGAGTTAACCTATAAACAATGAGGGGCAATTACATATGCAGTTCAGGAAAACACAACTTGATGTCATGACAATAAAGCTTACAATGTAGGAAAAAAAAACTAGTGGAGTACCAACAGAGATCTCTGAACAAGACTAATATCATAAGAAAAAATAAATTAGGCATTACCCTGAATATATGGGGTCACATGAAAAACTTGTGATACATGTGAAATTGCTTCAATTCTTGTATTGCCATATCAAATTGAAAGGTGTTGAACATAATATCTTCACATTGCCAATATTTGCCAACAAGAGACATGAAATTATTTATAATAAGTTTCATTAAAATTTGTTTATTAATAAAGGTAAGAGAGCACTAAAAATGAAGAGTTTACAAACGAAGAGAACAAATGGAGAGTGTAGGGTATAACATATGACCCATCGTCGATCGACATATAAAAATCTGGATATGGGCAAGAAACAGGAGTAATCTGAAAAATACCTTTTACCACAAAGTATAGACAAAATTAGATTGATGGAGAAAATGCTTACATAAAAATGTCAATAAAAACTCATGTCAGCTACCTCAACCAACCAGAAGCCATGTAAGCTATCTGTATCTATCCCCTAGGTAACTAAACAGTAAGTTATCTGTATCTATCCCCTAGGTAACAAAACAAACTGACTTAGAAAGCAATGGCCATACCATGCTGTTCAACATTATACTAAAATTTTAACTCACAATAATCTCTTAAAAATGAAATTTGTATGTGTAATGTAAGTGGTCTAAAATGTAATGTAACTCAACAGTTTCAATCATTACATAATTCAAGTGTATAATGAAGTAATATTGATGTGTTATGTAACATAGATATTGACTGTAAGGAACGGTGTGCGTCCTCTCCCACACACATGGTAAAGTGCTGTTCGACTTACTACTCCCTTCTGGTTGGATCATTAGAACTGGAATCTAATGCATCAGCTATTTATTCAAGGGAACCTAAATACTTCCTAAATCACCTTGACCTTCAACCACTCTAGTAATTTTTTTTTTTGGAATGAGAACACATTTCCTACAGCATTCTCAAGAATTCCAGTTGTGTATGAATGGTTGACTTAACCTACATTGAATAACATCAATTTAATTCAGTTATTTCACTTCCCATTACCGTAGGGTTGCCATGGTATTACTGATGGTGTTAAATTACCAGGCAACAACATAAACATTCTACAGACAAATGAATTGTTTTAGGAAGTTTTCAAATAATGTTTTCATATTCTAATATCATGAAATGAATACTAAAGCAAATCTTTTGTTTACATATTTTATGTTTTTGACCTTTAAATGAACTTAGCATTCCTTTACTGGGCAAGTCCTGGTAGTAACATGACAAGAGATAAGAGAATAAACATATCCCAGGGATCATTGCTGGCCTCAATACTGTAGGTTTTTATACCCATATTTTTCTGAAATATTGTGGGATTTAAGATTGTATGATTTTGTTTTGTTGATCACCTACTCTCTGTACTTATATGTAGTTTTATTATTAAAACTGATAAAAATATCAAAAATGTGCTGTAGTGCTGAACATTGATATTTAGAGTCTAAAACGAAGAGCAAAGCATCAGAATTGAAAGTGGTCATCACTAACCAGCGTACTGAGTATTACTAAGTTATACAAAGTCATCACTAACCAGTGTATTGAGTATTACAAAGTTATACAAAGTCATCACTAACCAGCGTACTGAGTATTACTCAAGCTATACAAAGTCATCACTAACCAGCATACTGAGTATTACAAAGTTATAAAAGTCATCACTAACCAGCGTACTGAGTATTACAAAGTTATACAAAGTCATCACTAACCAGCATACTGTGTATTACAAAGTTATACAAAGTCATCACTAACCAGTGTACCAAGTATTACAAAGTTATACAAAGTCATCACTAACCAGCATACTGTGTATTACAAAGTTATACAAAGCCATCACTAACCAGCGTACCGAGTATTACAAAGTTATACAAAGCCATCACTTACCAGTGTTCTGAGTATTACAAAGTTATACAAAGTCATCACTAACCAGCATACTGTGTATTACAAAGTTATACAAAGTCATCAATAACCAGTGTTCTGAATATTACAAAGTTATACAAAGCCATCACTAACCAGTGTTCTGAGTATTACAAAGTTATACAAAGTCATCACTAAGCAGCGTACCGAGTATTACAAAGTTATACAAAGTCATCACTAAGCAGTGTACTGAGTATTACAAAGTTATACAAAGTCATCACTAACCAGTGTACTGAGTATTACTCAAGTTATACAAAGTCATCACTAAGCAGTGCACTGAGTATTACAAAGTTATACAAAGTCATCACTAACCAGCGTACTGAGTATTACTCAAGTTATACAAAGTCATCACTAACCAGTGTACTGAGTATTACAAAGTTATACAAAGTCATCACTCACCAACTCACTCACCAATGTACAGAGTATTATGTAAGAAATACATGTCCTGTGCTTGGTCCCACAAGCTAATGATGGTGTTATTTGGTGTTAATTTGGAGGGGGGAAAATTAAGTATATAATTAGTTTGTAACTGGATTTAATGCACTCTTCGGGTTACATGACCTTAAAATTCTGTTCTCAAGCATTTTATGGGAAAATTATTTCCTTGCGACATCAATTCAAGGTGATTTCTGAATTTTTAACAAGGCTGAAACAAGGTATTTTTATTTATTTTTTCTCCTTTTTCTGGACTACTTAAATAATGTCAAGGGATACTGGTAGACAAGGTAACCTCATTTAATGTTGATGAATCTGAATTGTCCAGTTTTTACTAGATGGAGTGAAAGTGGAGTAATTTTTAAGATGTCAGAGATTTCTTTTCTTATACCTTGCTTCAAAAAGAGTCAAACAAGGAATATTACATCAGTTAAACAAGTCTTCAAAAGTGCCAAACTAAATATAGATACAGTTAAATTTAAGTGAAAACTCCATTTGAGCCTTTAACAACTCAAATAAATACAACACCCTAATACAACTGGACCTCAGTTTAATTAAAAATTAAAGTCAGACAATTAAGAATAGAATATATTTGTATCTCCATCCTAATTTTAAGCAAAAATAAATGAAAAAAATCACCATGATTGTTGTGCTAACACAATGTGATCTAGATTTAATTTAGTGATATAAAAGTTCTCAGTTTGTAACTGTGACATAGCAAAAACATGAGATTGAAACGATATCTGATCCAGGCAAATATTGAAGGTCATTAGAGATATCACTTTATTTTTACAGTTACAGGCCACAGTATCAGTAGTGATTAGACTCTCTGTGTATAGCCTTGTACAGGTAAATGTAAAGGTACATGACCTGGGCCTATTTATAGAATGACCCTGATTGCTTATACAGAAAAGGCATTCAGAGTCTGTGACAAACTGTGTCACGCAATGAATAGTGGTTTTTACATAATGGGTCATACAGAAACTGAGACAGAATCCCTTCATGCTTGTGTAAGCATTGGAATTTCATTCAGATCCTAAACAACTGTGCTGTATGTCAGCAATATAATACATGTTGATTGCTTCAGTGAGGAGTCCTAAAGTGAAAATAGACAGCCTTACCTGATCAAAATCACCCTTGGCAACAAGAAAATAATGGTGCAAGTTAAGTAGGTTTGTTCTAGATAAGTCCAAAAATGACAGATTATTCAGTAGATCTTTACAGCTGTCATTATTATCTATACTAAGTCTGTTACTTTATCTCTGCTGATGTGTCACCCATATGCTTGATATTTACACAGGAAATGACATCACAAGGGAATTCCCCTTTACACCTGTTCTTACCGCAGACCACAGAAGAGTTCAATAAGTTAGGCAGACAATTGAAAAACACATTTTGGAGCTTCAAATAAATAATACATCTCGCCATTTTATATGATTTAAAAGGCTGCTATTTCAGTAAGGCTGAAAGGCAAAGCTGATTGTTTCCAATGAAGAAGGTACTTGTTGATCTTGTTGATTTTCTTATTTAAATAACCTGTGACCTTTTTATTTTCAATCTTGATCACAATTTATTGTAAGTGTTTTTCCAACCTTGACTTTCCCTATGATATGATCTCTACTTTTATCCTGAAGGTATATAAACATGATCTGACATGAGTTTCCATTTCATAAGTGAAGCAATTAAGTCTAAGAATTTGTGGCAAATTTCAAAATTAAATTAAAATAAAAAAAAACCAACTGAATTCCTTTAAATATACACCTTTTTCTTTTAAAACAATTGCAAAACAATATATTCCATTTATACTAATCACTCTATTGGCCCAGGTGTAGACATGCTGAGGGTCTAACAGTGGGAGGAAACCGAAAGAAGCCAGAAAAAAACCCTAGGAGGTTGGGCATGTTACCCCTTACCTGGGTAAAACCCTATGTGGTCATACATGTTACCCCCTACCTTGGGTAAAAACCAATATGGTTGTGCAGGTTACCCCCTACCTGGGGGAAACCCTATGTGGTCATACATGTTACCCCCTACCTAGGGTAAACACCAATATGGTTGTGCAGGTTACCCCCTACCTGGGTAAAACACTATGTGGTCATACATGTTACCCCCTACCTTGGGTAAAAACCAATATGGTTGTGCAGGTTACCCCCTACCTGGGTAAAACACTATGTGGTCATACATGTTACCCCCTACCTTGGGTAAAAACCAATATGGTTGTGCAGGTTACCCCCTACCTGGGTAAAACCCTATGTGGTCATACATGTTACCCCCTACCTTGGGTAAAAACCAATATGGTTGTGCAGGTTACCCCCTACCTGGGGGAAACCCTATGTGGTCATACATGTTACCCTCTCCCTATGGTAAAAACCGATATGGTTGTGCAAGTTACTCCCTACCTGAGGGAAACCCTATGTGGTCATACATGTTACCCCCTACCTTGGGTAAACACCAATATGGTTGTGCAGGTTACCCCCTACCTGGGGGAAACCCTATGTGGTCATACATGTTACTCCCTACCTAGGGTAAAAACCAATATGGTTGTGCAGGTTACCCCTACCTGGGGGAAACCCTATGTGGTCATACATGTTACTCCCTACCTAGGGTAAAAACCGATACGGTTGTGCAGGTTACCCCCTACCTGGGGGAAACCCTATGTGGTCATACATGTTACCCTCTCCCTAGGGTAAAAACCGATATGGTTGTGCAAGTTACTCCCTACCTGCGGGAAACCCTATGTGGTCATACATGTTACCCCCTTCCTTGGGTAAAAACCAATATGGTTGTGCAGGTTACCCCCTACCTGGGGGAAACCCTATGTGGTCATACATGTTACTCCTTACCTAGGGTAAAAACCAATATGGTTGTGCAGGTTACCCCTACCTGGGGGAAACCCTATGTGGTCATACATGTTAACCAATATGGTTGTGCATGTGGTCATACATTACCCCTACCTAGGGTAAAAACCTGCAAGTTACCCCCTACCTGGGAGAAACCCTATGTGGTCATACATGTTACTCCCTACCTAGGGTAAAAACCGATACGGTTGTGCAGGTTACCCCCTACCTGGGGGAAACCCTATGTGGTCATACATGTTACCCCCTACCTAGGGTAAAAACCGATACGGTTGTGCAGGTTACCCCCTACCTGGGGGAAACCCTATGTGGTCATACATGTAACCCCCTACCTAGGGTAAAAACCAATATGGTTGTGCAAGTTACCCCCTACCTGGGAGAAACCCTACGTGGTCATACATGTTACCCCCTACCTAGGGTACAAACCAATACGGTTGTGCAGGTTACCCCTACCTGGGGGAAACCCTATGTGGTCATACATGTTACTCCCTACCTAGGGTAAAAAAACGGTTGTGCAAACCTGGGGGAAACCCTATGTGGTCATACATGTAACCCCCTACCTAGGGTAAAAACCAATATGGTTGTGCAAGTTACCCCCTACCTGGGAGAAACCCTACACCCCCTACCTACAAACCAATACGGTTGTGGGGAAAAAATTTATGTGGTCAAACAGTTACCTCCTACCTTTTTGCATCCAGTAGAGGAATCAAACCCTGGACAGTCAGATGAAAGACAAGTGCATTACCACTGTGCCATCTGACCATCTTTTTATTACACACAATAATCTTAGCAAATACTGCGGAGTGTTTTTTTCTATTTCAAACTTTAGTCATGTTAAATTAGCTGAAGATCCAAACATATGGTTTCCATTGTGACATCGTGATCAATATAATCTGTGAGTGTGAAATGTCACTTCATTATTGATATCATCCTGTTATCACAATAACATGAGATACATATTTTCTGGACAGGTATACACCTAACCAGATTACAACTTTAACAGAAATATGTTAAACAAGAAAGAAGTCATAATGTATACTGAGATATTTTTGCAACAGGTTAATTTCACTCTTGTTCTATTATATACAAATGTGCTTCATTTCACCCTCTGAAGATTATATCAAATGGGGTATGTAAGTGCACCCCCGACCCCCATCTCAGATTTGCCCTTACTGTTCATGGGTAAAAAGGGCAAAAGCTAAACAGGGATGAAAATATCCCAGTTTGCAGTATTATATCCATGGCTTTAGAGGGTGTTAAAGCCGCTATAGGCAACAACCCATGGTCACAGCTAACACAACCTGTCTGAAACAAACTGCCAACTTTTGTGACAAATTCCTCCTACTTTTGGTGTATGACCTTGAAGTATGACCTTTAGTAATATTACTTACCTGGAGTGTGAACTGGTCCACTGGATAGACTACAGCTTGGTGGGGGTGGGGTGCCGTGAGGATGTGTAGGTGCTCCTGCGGGTACATGTGACGACGCCCCCGGGTGGGTGTGGTGATGATATGGGTGGGTGGCATAGTGAGGCGTATAACCCTGGTAATACTGAGGTGCATTGTTGTTTGGTCCACCCTACAAAATACAAAAACAAATGGTTCAAGCACAAAAGAAAACATTCTATATAACAATTGTCTTTTTTAAACAATAAGAATATTATTTTCAATTGTGATTTCTTCTGAACATCAGAATTCATACGTTTTTCATTCAATAATTAGTCAGGGTTAAGCCATAATCACAAGTAGGTTTTGATGGTTTCCCCCTCCATGTCCAAAGAAGATTTACAATGAATCTCAGTAAATAAATTGATGATTATCAAATTTTCAACATTTGAGAGCAGAAAAATTAAGAGCAACCAAGAAAATAGAATAGGTTATTAATATATACTTTTTGTAACACCCTCTATAATTAAATTCCTTCCCTCCCCCACTCCAGATTTCTGGTCGAACTTTTAGACAGAAATTATTCGTTTATCTTTGAAATTGTATGTAGTTTAAAAAATCCTATTAGTCCTCCAGGAGAATAGCCCAAGCAGCATTGTTCTGACGTATCGGTTGGTTTAAAAAAAATCAGTCAGTGTATTTTTCTGTGGATTAATGTTTAGAATGCAAGTTATTTTTCGATGAAATCAATAAAACATACATCGTGTGACAAAGTGTCGCATTAACTTCACAGTGTATGACTATAACAACATGCAAACATTATAGCATGTAGTAAATATCAGAAAATGATAAACAAATCAACAGATATCTTAGAAATACTATTAAGTCTCTTCTCAGTTACAACTAATGCACAGAAACTTTGGGAGATCTAAACCACCGATCTGCTGATTTCCCAAAAATTTACTACAAATTTACATTCAAACTTATAAAAAACAATAAAATCTTTATCAAAACAAATCAACAGCTAAGAAGATTTCAACAATTAAAATGACTTAATCTCCTTCACTAAATCTACTACACACAAGAATTTCAAATGTATTGAAATTCTGGAAAACCCTGGCCACTTTTATCGTAATTATCTGAGGTTATGTCACTGTGACAGATTAGGATTCTAATCAAACTACTTCTGTAGCTGTGTTGATATCTTCTTGACTAAACTGATGCCATGTAGTTGTCACCATATCAGACACATTTTCTTCCTTGTGAATGAAAAAATGATAACAAATAAGTTGCTACAAGGAAAAGGGTATCCCAATTCAGCCAGCTAAATCTTTCTTCACAATTCAGAATTCTAGAAATTGACACTATTCAACCATTCACCATCTGAGATACATTGCCAGGATATTTGAAGGTTATGTAAAAATTACCCAGGAATCATCTGCTAGTTGTTTGCACCTACAGTAGACAAGGACATATATTCCCTATGTAATGCAACATAATCAGTGGGAAGGAATCTGCAGACATGCATCTGAGACAGAATAGTGTTCAAGCAGGGCTAAGAATGCACACAGCATATTTGTCTTTTTGAGTTAGTAAGGGTGGTGAGACATACTGCATACCACAATAATGTAACAATTCACTGGGATTATCTTTGAGTGAAACTGCTAATCAACTGACTAATTAAGGTCTAATATGACAGGTGAAGTGTTTGAAGTAGGAAGCATTTTTAACTTCAAATTGGCATCCTTTTATATTCCTTACTTCAATGATATCACCACGTGTGATAGTCACTCAGTCCTCCTTACCACCTGGTCAATGTAAACACTACTAAACACATTCTGCTCAACCTAACTGGACAGAATGAGAGATCACCCTACCATTGTGTAGGTTATGATACTTTAGACAAATGGCACACTAAGGTAGCCCTGTCATCATTTTTAAGACTTTCAGGATCTTAGTTGTTTTAAAAATTCAAAGTTTGAAACACTAGAAGAACCAAACCTCAACTAACTACTGTCTGAAACAGTCCTGAAAGGCACCTTGGCATGCCCTGTACTGCCTTAAGTAATTTGTACAAACAGAAAACATACTGAAACACTTCTACATTGCTAAGTAGGAAAATAGCTACCAAATTGTTTCCTGTAATTGGAGAAAGGGTAGAAGGACATGGCTCTCTACTGTTCTATCAACAAGCTATACAATAGTTATAATATACATAAAACCAAACATTTGGACATACAATGTTAAGGTTGGATAATATTCAAATATAGTGTGTAAATAATAAACAAGTACAGTACTTCATTTCGAAAAACAAAAACCAGTTGACCTGTAATAAATTGGCTCATCAGTACTTTTCAGAAGAGCTTAAAATCATAGACCTCTGAAAATATGAATGAAAACTAGTTTTTTTTCATCTGATGCCGTTTTGGTACACAGAACACTAGGTTAATGATTTTGTTGATGTCCTAAGTTATTGGTGGTACTGATGAAAGGTATTATAAGGTTTTATTCATCATGCAGAGGTTACAAACAGTAGATCTATAAGGATGCATGCATATGACCTAAGTCTGCCCTATGTGCTAAAATAATTGATCTTTTTAGGGGGAAGGCAGTTGATGAAAGATTTTTTCACCGTGACATTAAAATAGTATAAAATGGAATTTAAAGTAAGAAAAAGAGGAATATGAAAATTGGAAATATACAAAAACACATGAAAATATAAGTTTTGGTTATTGAAATTTAAATTCAACACTTGCTTCCTCTCAGTCAGATCTTTTTGTACTGATAATCTAATCCTTGTTTGTTCCTCTTATTTAAGTATTCACTAACAGAAACATCATTTGCCATGTACTTAAGGTCTATCCTTATGGATACTATTACTTTTAGAGCCCCATAATGGTAACACAATGTAAGTTCCTTAATTTCATACAATGATACCAGAAAAGATATAAATAACCTCATGTGTCAAATGGGACATGCTGACCATTATACCATACTGCAGCTGATAAGCACCCAAATGTTTTGGAATATGAAGAAAAGGACAGATTTGCAGAATCTTCAACAAAATACTGCAAACATACTAAAAGCACAATGAAATTTAAGTTCACTTTCTTTTATTCGGTAAACACAATGATTCTTATAAAATTTACATATGTAAATTGCAGTTACACAATGATATTTTAGCATAATAGTTTCTGCGCAAAAAGTGCTAAAAAAATAGAAGTGCTAAAGTAGGTATGTTTACAGTTAGTTAAAGCACACAAGTAAATCATGTTGAAAAAGAGTGAAAAAATTTACAAATAACGAACAGGGAAGGGAACTTAAAGGAATATGGTGTTTATTAGGTAAAATATGGTAATAATGATATTGCTATTTGTTTGATATCTAAAAAAGTCCAACTATTACATATATGGATATAAATATATATTGGCTAGTTAATACATCAACTTCATTCAACTAACCAATTAAAAGACATATATTAAACACATCCAATCACCCAATCATGAACAAGACATATCCAATCATCCAGTCACAAAACAGATAAATGCATATCCAAATGGCCAATGAAAAGCAGCTGAGGATATATCCAATTGACCAATCACAAGAGCAGCTAGATGAAAGGAACAGCACATCCCACCGACCACAAGGCAGCTAGGTGGCAGTCAGCAAGCATTGTAACTGCCAATTGCTAGTCATGATTGATTGTTCAATTTTTGACCAGACATGGATCGATTAGCTGGCAAGGACAGGCAGGCGTACCGGACATTCAGGCGGTCAGCAGGACAATCTGATGAGGAGAAATGGGGAAAAACAGAAATACATACATAGCATCCTACCGTCATTGGCTGTACAGGCATGCCTGGAGGTTGAGGGGATAAAATAACATGTGTCAGAATCCCATGCTCGTCCACGATCTGTTGTACCATGTGACCCTGAGGAACCTGCATTGGCATCGGTAAAGGCGGTCCAGTGTTAGAAACCATTCTTACAGTGGCTGGACCTGCAAAGACAGAAAAATACAGACATGAGAATACCTAAATTTGTATTGCTATATCATAGATACTGACAGGTCATTTTCATCAATACCTAAAATATTAAGTTATCTATCAGTCTTTTTTTTACATTTTCCACATTAATGAAACTATAACTGTCACCAAGAAGAATCCAGGTCCTGCAAAATTTGAATCATGTTTTGTAATACCATCACCCCATGGAAACCACTACATAAACATGTGGCAGTCTACCAAGGGCACCTGTTATCCCGAGTACATGCATTTATCACCATCTGTAATCAGGCTTTGTGGCTACCTGTCCAGCTTCAGTAACACCTGTGCATTATTTGTAATCACCTGTCTGTATTACATCTACACCTGTACAATACATTTCTTTATTACATTTTTCATTTGTCAAATTACTTTAAAATATAATAACAGGTCATTATAACAAACTGGCAAAAATGTTAAGGGATAAAAAGTACACATACTTAACCAAGAAACCTGTCACTTCTAGAGTACATTATAATCTGTCTATATTGCTACATGAACCCGAAACATTTACAACCAGTTTTCTTCAACAGTGTTCTATCAATCAATCATTTTTCCAAATTTAAAATGGAGGGGAAGAAGTGAACAGCAAAAATCAATTGTCTGCCTATTTTTTGTTGACAAAACACTTTTATAAGTTGTTTTAAGCAAGGCACTAATTTATCAACATAATTTGAATCTAAGTTTAGGAAAAAGAATTTGGAGTGAAAATCAGGAAAATGTCTGCAAAATCCAGTATGGTTGATAAGAGTCACTCTAGATCCTGTCTTATGTCTAGAGGTACGAAATCCAGTATGGTTGATAAGAGTCACTCTAGATCCTGTCTTAAGTCTAGGGATACAAAATCCAGTATGGTTGATAAGGGTCACTCTAGATCCTGTCTCAAGTCTAGGGATACAAAATCCAGTATGGTTGATAAGAGTCACTCTAGATCCTGTCTCAAGTCTAGGGATACAAAATCCAGTATGGTTGATAAGAGTCACTCTAGATCCTGTCTCAAGTCTAGAGATACAAAATCCAGTATGGTTGATAAGAGTCACTCTAGATCCTGTCTCAAGTCTAAGTCTAGAGATACAAAATCCAGTATGGTTGATAAGAGTCACTCTAGATCCTGTCTCAAGTCTAGGGATACAAAATCCAGTATGGTTGATAAGAGTCACTCTAGATCCTGTTTCAAGTCTAGAGATACAAAATCCAGTATGGTTGATAAGAGTCACTCTAGATCCTGTCTCAAGTCTAGAGGTACAAAATCCAGTATGGTTGATAAGAGTCACTCTAGATCCTGTCTCAAGTCTAGAGATACAAAATCCAGTATGGTTGATAAGAGTCACTCTAGATCCTGTCTCAAGTCTAGGGATACAAAATCCAGTATGGTTGATAAGAGTCACTCTAGATCCTGTTTCAAGTCTAGAGATACAAAATCCAGTATGGTTGATAAGAGTCACTCTAGATCCTGTCTCAAGTCTAGGGATACAAAATCCAGTATGGTTGATAAGAGTCACTCTAGATCCTGTCTCAAGTCTAGAGATACAAAATCCAGTATGGTTGATAAGAGTCACTCTAGATCCTGTCTCAAGTCTAGAGATACAAAATCCAGTATGGTTGATAAGAGTCACTCTAGATCCTGTCTCAAGTCTAGGGATACAAAATCCAGTATGGTTGATAAGAGTCACTCTAGATCCTGTCTCAAGTCTAGAGATACAAAATCCAGTATGGTTGATAAGAGTCACTCTAGATCCTGTCTTAAGTCTAGAGATACAAAATCCAGTATGGTTGATAAGAGTCACTCTAGATCCTGTCTTAAGTCTAGAGATACAAAATCCAGTATGGTTGATAAGAGTCACTCTAGATCCTGTCTTAAGTCTAGAGATACAAAATCCAGTATGGTTGATAAGAGTCACTCTAGATCCTGTCTTAAGTCTAGAGATACAAAATCCAGTATGGTTGATAAGAGTCACTCTAGATCCTGTCTTAAGTCTAGAGATAACAATGTATAATCATCAGTTTACTAGATGGGAACTAGTACAATTATATTGTCAGAGATTGAGTTAATTCCTGGAAACAACATCTATATGACTTTATGGGCACTACTATTTTGATTCACCTAATAACCTCTCACACCTTAGAATTTGGTCCTAACTTTCACATCACTGCCGTAAGAAAGAATAAAAAACCATTATAGAACTCCATGCCAAGAGTTGGAGTATTCAAAAACAATTTTCCCGTCACTGCCAACCTCCTGTAGGTTTTGATGGCAGACCAGGATTCCTAATGTCACAAGGTAATACACATCTGTACACACAGGTGTGGCTGGTCAATTAACACTAATTGCATTTCCACAGGTGCAACAGACAGGTGTGTGTCTACCAATACAGTGAAAGTGAAAAGTCAAGATCTCTTTCCAATTAAAGACTTCTCCAAAACAACTCGGACAAAGTTTCATTTCTTTAAGTTTATAAATCAAGATCAGTAAGCTAAATGAACACTTACAAAATAAAATAACAACTGAAATTGAAATCGTGCTCTCATGACCAAAAACAAATTGGAACACAACCGATTTCTTTTTATAAACATATATGAATTACACAAAGGCCAAGTGTCTTACAGTTAAGACCACTCTAAGGTTTAATGGTTATGATAACCATCTTATTTGCTTTGTGAAATAGAAGCAAAAAATAACAAAAAACAGGCAAGTACAAATATCAAGGTTAACAAAATCTCAACAACAAACCCTGCCTCTAGTGTAAACAGAAGCTTGTAAGCTACAGGTGTTAAACTACAGCACCTGACAGCCTAGCCCATAGCTTTTGGAATACAAGTAAAACACAAATAAATCAAAACTTTGGGAAAGAACATTATACAGGGTAGTTCCCCTTTCTGTCATAAATATGTCATTTAGCCAAGTGTCAATAGACCTTCTTAAACTTTCAATACACAAATCTCTAACATTCTTAAAGATTTCCTCATCCAAAATGTCGTCTGTACAATATACACTATGGAGCAAATGTCATGCCAAAGGTCTGCTTACGTTAGACGGACATTTCCAAGAGGGTGTTAACTGCTCTTCTCAAAGATTAAAACATGCCCTTTAGAGAGAATTTCGACACCATTTCTATAGCAATGTGCAAACCAATTCTTAGCAAAAGATTTGTGCTTGCTTTTGTACGAAGTACATGTTTTTCTAAACCTCTTAAAAGATATTTTCCATGGATTGAACAAAGAGTTGCTCTGAACACCTTTTAAATCAAAGGATCTTCAAAATGTCTCTCCAAGCCGTTATGTTGTTCCCTTAGTGTAAACCTTACCTTCTTGAAAATGCACTTAAGGCTCACAAAAGCTAGGGATTACAGCACAACATAAGGTCCTTAATGTAGGCAAAGTCATGGATGGTGTGTATAGAGACAGTGATTTTTAATGCATCAGCTCTGTATACCTTAAGACAAGAGGATGTATATAGGTCAATATAATGATATAACTAAATTTATGTGGTGATCCTTCAAGTTGACTTTTTTAATGAAATGGTTCTGTTTGCTTAATGTCCTAGTAACAGCTAGAGTCATTTAAGGATGTCCTCTAATGTATGCAAATATATCCAAATATTACTTAAAAGGAACTTGAAATTTCTTCCTGTACCTCACAAACACATACAAAAAATAACGAGTTTATCTAAATATATTTGCACTTCTATCAATTCTCTATATTACATCATATCAGACTTGTTTCATAAGTCTTATAGAACATTGTATGGCATCAGAAGTACCTAAAACAAACAATCAACATCTTCATTGTTCTAAACCTGTGTCCATTGGATAGGTAACCATTTTATAAGAAATGACATGAATGTCTGAATTGATGTTGGTGAATAGACCCTTAGTAAAGTCTAACCAGGTCATTACATCTGAAGGACTTCTCCCCTTAATCAAATCTTACTTCTCAATACATTTTTATTTACTAGCCCCTTGAAAATTTCTTCAAATAACAAACAACAACATCAAATGCATCATAATCCATTCTGCAAACATTTTTTCACTGATAAAGGTGACAATCACCTATAATATATGACTGGAAGAATTTTCTAAATTCTTCTCTTTCTGACAACTTATTGCTAAATACCTTACAAGGCATACACTATTAACATATACATTACTCTGTCAACATGGTAAATGATTGAATAGTAATACACATACTTAAGAGTCACATATTCTGAAAAAAAAAGACCACGAAATTTTCTATAAATAGACATGAAGTGACCTACTTACAGAAGGACAGGTATTTTGCGATAGCCCTCCAATCAACCACCTGCTTGGAGCACTAGGCACATACCTGATTTCAGTAATGAGTTTTATTATTCAGATGAAAAAGTACATTAAAAATCTAATTCATCAATAATTTTTCAGACAACCTGTTTACATCAGATCTGGTCTATATTTGATTTTAAAAACGGATCGTGGTGCAGCCTCAATTCAGTAGAGACTAGGTCCACTTCTTTACCAATCACTTCAATGAAAACCATTAGTAATTTGTCATCAAGTTAAATTCATTTCTAAATTCTTTTTGATCAATACATTCTGCGTAAAATCTTTGCTTCAAGGTTAAACATCCCACACCCTCCTTGTTGAACTTATCACCAGGTAAATTTCATTACTATCAAACAGGAATATTGATTGTTATTTCCATATATGTTAATAATTATCAACAATTCAGGTAAGTCTCTAAGAGCAGGTTGATGTACAGGTAGGATCTCAACATAGCAACATATACTGGAAACAGACGTAAATTCTCCTTATTGTTTGAAAAATTGAGGTACTAAATTTGAATTTCATTATCAAGAGAAATTGAATACAATTTGCAATACTTAAATCTTCAAACTACTTATATTTGAAGGATCCAAGGTATTCACAATCCTGAATGAAATTGACAAAAGAAATTATAGCTTAAAACAGTATTTTATATACAG